GGCTTGTTTACATCACTTCTCTTGCATGAAGCTATTTAGACAGTAATTTGCAGTCATTGGTGAAAACATACCTGTGTGCTTGCTCTTTTATGAAGAAATAAGATGGTTATTTTTAGATAAAAGCCCCACAGGAATTCTGATTTCCTAAAGAATTTCCTACTTCAATATAAGAACATCAGTCTGGAAGGGCTAAGCTGAACCACTGAATCTGGCTGTCAAAGGAAACCCTGTTTTGTTCCTCTTCTCATTTTGCAGCAGACACATGATGGGTCTGACCTTCCATCATTGCATTCATAGCCCAAGTGGCTCACAAAGTATTCACATTTTCAGTGTCCATTCTTTCCTGGCAGCAAATCCATTTGCTGGGTCTATGTTATATACCCCGACATGAAAATAATCTGAATTAAAAGCATCCTTTTCTTGGCGGGAATGAGAGGTAACTTGGGAACCTCTGCTGCCTCCTTCCCTTCTGAAGCTGAGATTTGAGATGATTTTACCAGCTGAGACAGAGCACATGAGGAGCTGTTGAAACACCCACAGCTCCCCTCAGAACAGCCTCATTCCTCTTTGTCACTTGTCCTGGTTGAACCTGAGAGTCTGGAAATTACAGACAAAGCTGTGCTGTCCTTTCAGCAGTGGGTTAACAACCACTGCAGTTTCATTAATCACACACAGAGGATCTGATTTTCCATAGAGCTTAGCTCAGGTGTTCCAAGGAGCATTGCCCTGCAAACCAAACTGGTGTCAGAGCTGCTACAGAGGGCTCAGCTCCTGCAGGAGGGAGGGAAAGAATAGAGGAAATTCAGGGCTTTGTCACCAGGAGAGGAAAGTGGTTGCTTGCACAAGCTGGTGGTACCTCTTATAGCTTCCTGGAATGCCCACAAGGACCATCATAGTCTGAACTCTCTGTTTTTGGCAGGGATGAGTGGCTGCCACAAATGAGGAGTAGGTAAAGGCATGGGGAATGGATTGTTTCTTAAAACAAGGAGGGGATGGGGCACTCTAGGCGCCTTCTAGGGTACCTAGACGAGGATTCTTCTTAGGTAATTTTTTTTTAGTGGTGGAAAAACAGAACCACAATTTTTGTAGATTTTTATTTGGTCTCTTAGCTGTTATATACACTGTTTTAAATGAGAAATGGACACACCAGGAGTCCTTGTTTGACACTATAGGACATGTGAAAGCACAATGCGAGCCACTGCTATTTGCAAGGTAAAGAAGAAGAAGGTTTATTCTCTGACTCCAACTTTTATACTTTTCCAAAGGTGACAGTGGATTGGAGAGTGAATGGGCCACCTCTCCAAAGACATTGGACAAACCACTAGTACAACAAGTTTCTCCACCCCATGAAGGAATCCAAAACAATATACTGTTTATAGAAAATTGTGTGAGAAAGTTCTCTAACAGAATGTAAACTCAGAAGGCTTTAGAAAATCTTAAGAATCAGGGTGACACTTGTTTAAGAAGGAAAATTGTAAACAATGTGGTTGTCACCCACTGGTGGCAGTGGAGATCTATGAGGGCAGAAACTCCACTCCTTGGACTCCTTTATTTTTCAGCTGTCAGCACCCTCTCACACTATCCAGTTCAGGAGTGTTTGAATCCAAGGGTTCAGCCTGGCTCTGGGAACAGGAGGCTCTGCAGTTTCTGTGTTATGCTGTCACCCAAAGGTAACAGAGTCACTGCATGCCCAGCTCTTGTCACCTTCCAGAGAAGCCATCCCGTGCAGTCAGGGACGTGGTTTGTGTCTGTCCTTGTCTTCTGATGAGCTGAAGGAAAGCAGCTGCTTTGGGCTGCCTCATCTGGAATGCTCACAAGCCTGGATAATGCAGGGGTGGATGGAACTGAGCATGAAATGTTGGTCTGTGTAGAATTCAGACATTGTCCTTTACATCCACTTAAAAATACAGAAAGGTGTTCTTGCTTTATGAACTTCAGGCAATAAATGATCACAGAATCATTCCAATAGACACTGATTTACATGGAATCAGTAATACAGATTGAATCACTACCTAATAAATAGGTTCTGTGTCATTACAATGCCATGCTTTTAAAACTGTTGCAGTGAAGAAATCCTGGAGTAACACAAGGACAGATCACATATTATCCTTAATGCTGTATTGCTACTGTGCATTTATTGGTTCTAAAGTTTAGCCATAAATACCAGAATATTTTCTGTTTTCACACAACTCTAACTAAAGGAATTTCTAGTTTCTCTTATTCCAAAGAAACAACTACTCTTGTTTGGGATAAAAACATAAAAGAGTGGTATAAAACAAACTATCAAAATTCAGGGAAGTGTAATTGACAGAATGATGATGTTACCTTTTGGGGATGAAAATACTTTTTTCAAAGGGAAAGGATATGCTGCCTGTGGGTTATTGTTTTTACTATTTTGAATAGCCCCATCTTCCCTGTGCCCCACAGCTTCATTCTCATAGTAATTTTTCAAAGTTTTAGCTATCCTGAATGAAAGAAAGCATCCTCCAAAGCTTTGTGGAAATGATGTGGCAATGTTAAACGTCTGAATTGTTCCCCCCATCTAAATAATGTCTGTTAATGATGTCTATTGCATATAAGTTGTGCCTTAACATCCTGCCAAGCCCATCACTGGCACCAGGCTTCCTAGAACTATTTAGTGTGTTTTCTTCCTGTTGTGGCTGAAGGTGTATTATTGGCACTATGGGAGAGGCAGGCTTGCAATTTTTATTTTTTTTTTTTTACATCATTGGTTACACAAAGTGATTACTCCAGCTGTACAAATAATGTAGGAAATGGATTTTTTTTTTTTTTTTTGCATTAGAATTATGCAAGCCCAGCAAATAATCCCAACAATTGCTTCTTAAGTCAGTGAAATTTCAAGCCATTCAGTTTACTTGTAAGGAGCTCACGGCTTCTTTGATGATGGGACTTGCTAAGCCCAAATGTGGAGAACTAATAAAATAATAAAAAGGCTCCAGAGGTGTTTATAGATTTCAATTATCTCTTACTTTCTCTCCCAGGACTGGGCTGGGCAGGATTGTGCTGCCCTCAAGTAGCACTTGAGTCGAGGCTGCATTTTCTGCTGGCTGTCTCCGAGGTTTCTCCTTTGTGGCTGAATCGCCTTAGTGTGGGCAGTGTACAGAGGTGCTAAGGGCTTGCCTAGACAAAGCACCGGGCTTCACAAAAGCAGGGGAGCAAAAGGAAGCAAAATTGAATCTCTAGCACCCAGCTCCTGGGCAAACAGACAAAACTAATGGAGAATCCAAGAATCCACTCTTGCTCCTCCCATCCAATTACTGTGATCCAGTGGAGAGAATATGGCAACATGGGTTCACACAAACTCTAACACTCTTAATCCCTTCCATACATATAAACCTCACATTCAGCGCCGTGGCTTCGTTACCGAGCCACCCAGGCAGCGGCGGCGTCGGAACGGACCCACCGGCTGCAAAACCTGCCTCCTCCAGCTCTCCATCAGCTAATGAGGGATATGCAAATGAGCAGCTTATGGGATTATGCCTTGTCTGACAGCAGCGCTCCTCGCAGCGATGCAGTGCTAATACAGGTGTTAGTAAACTGGTTATTAGGCGCTGCCCGATTCAGGCCCATTCACGCTGGGATTGTGCTGGCAGCCCTGCCATTTGTGCTGGTATTTGTGGCCCGGTAGGACATCTATTAGGGCTGTGGTGGGTCCAGGCAAACCCCTTGCTGCTCAATATGAAGTTAATAAATCCCGTTGGTTTGGTCTTTAGCCATAGACAACGACCCAAGACTGACGTGGGGATTTCCCCCTCCACCCCAGCTGCCTGGGAAATTGCCACCGGAGGGCAAAGGGGAAGTTTAATTGACAGTTAGTTAACATTTATATGAACTTCTCTCGTGCTTTTGAATAAAATGTAAAGCACAGAAGTATGATTAACCTATATTTTCCCTTGGTCACAACCAGCCAGCTCTCTCTTCCATGAAAGAACATGCAGCCCAGAAATATGCAGTGGGAACAAAACACACCGTGTCTGGGGATGAGCCATTTCTTTGGCCATTTCAGCGGTCCAGTACATCTTTCTGCTGTTTAATTTTTCTTATTCAGTGATATTTCTTTAAAAAGTTCCTTCACTGTGCAGACAATCCTGCATTGCAGGGCATTTACTCACCAAGATCAGTGGAGAAAAGTAGAGTGGAATCAGTAAAGTATTCACAGACCAGAGCACACGATGCCAACACTTAGTTAACTGATACCCCTGCTATGTTTGTCTAAAATCTCCTAAAATATACTCTTTATGTAAGCAGCAAATCATCCATACACACAAACAAAAGTGCCAAGCCTACAACAATTCTCATTTTTTCCCAAAAGGACTTTGGTGGAAACTAAGATAGGACTAGCAAATTATTTCAAAGATCTCCACTTTACGAACAATGATGTATAGAAGCATAGCTTCTTCTACCTAGAAGAGACACAGAACATAGTAGAAATCCATAAGGACATCATCTGAAAAGTGCCAAAATCGATTAGAAGATGCCCGATGAATTGGGTTTTATCTCTTCCAGTCAGCAGAGGAAAGGTTGTATTTTAAAGTAAATCTCTGTTTAAGACCCATTTGAGAATTTTGCTGAAAAAGATGTGACGTTGTGGGGGTTTCTTTTCATTATGATAGTAATATCTCCAGCTGTACTATTCTTCATTTAGATACTATTTAAAATTGAAGGACCTCATCAAAGTATTGAGCTGTTCTGGTAAAAGCTAGAAATTCAGGGGCACAGGTAGCTTTTAATGAGTTCAAAGGTTTGATTTTATCTTTAAATTGATTAAGATGTAATTGTCATCTTCTACATTGGGAGTTTCAAACAAAGGTTTAAAGGGCAAAGTATTCAAAAGTGAGTCCAGGAATGTCAACAAGCAAAGCTTCTTAGGTTTAATGCCCACGTAGCCATTGTTCTATGTTTGCTCTGACTGACCCTAATTAAATGTGCATCTTTAGGGCAAACTTCTCTGCTGAACTTTTCTTGGGCCTTTCACTTTCAGGTGTTTGAAAACCAAATAGGGGTCCAAAATTTGAAAATTCAGATCAATGATCAACCTGTTGAACCTAAGGGATCTAGGTAAGTGAGGCTGACTCATCTGCTCATTCATCACCTGTACTAAGGTTGCCTGGTTCTCCTGGTCTGCAAACTGTAGCCTGAGATGTTCTGTGGCCACTGTCCTATCAACCTCTGGCTTGGGATAAGCTCTAGTTATCCCAAAGGTTGATAGGACAGTGGAATTTGCCTGTGACACACAAGATCTTGTTTGAGCTAAAAAGCACTGAGTAACGGGTGGGGAAAGCCAGACATAATGGAATGGTTTACATGGAGCATGTATTTCTAGTTTATTTATCATTCTGTCACCCTGCTCTTTGCCTGCCTCTAAAATAACCTGGAGGATATGATCAGGAGAATGATGTGGATTGTACTGATTAGGCTCAGCTGAGTCCGCTGATGGAATGTTGTTGTGCTATTTATAGATAACAAAAGGATCACTTCTATTTATCCTTACGCTTTGTCATGTTGTTGCTTCCCAGAAATCAGAATCCCTGAATGTTCACAATGAATATAAATCCTCAGAAAGATTCAGAAATTCTTTAGAACAACAGATTATTTTTTTTCTTTTACTATTTCAGTTATCAGCAGCACCTCCCAATGCTCATAGCTCTGTTTTAGTTGAGAGCTGAGAAGGTGATGGATATTTAATTTATGAAATGCATTATACCTAAGTAAAAAACATGGTAGGAAAAAAGCCTACTTGCATTTGGACAGACCATATCAGAAATAGTGTTAAAACATCAAAGAAGCATTTGATTAGTTAATAGCACTGGTTAACTACTAGCACTGGTTAACTACTGGTTAACTACTTAGAAGCAAAAGAATTGCTTCTAAGAGTGTAGTTGCACAATAAAGTTTCAGCGTCTTTCTTTTTTATCTCTTGCTTTTCTTTCCTTCTTTAACACACAGATGATTACCTCTGACATCTTGAGGAGAGTGCATGCTGCATCTGAGAAAAAGGTAGAACCTTCATTGGTCAAGAAAATATAACAATGCAGTGTTCAAAAATGAATGTGTGTGTGAAAAAGTGTCTATGCTCCAGTGGAGAGAAACACATGGGCTATGGGAATGAATACTTGCTGAGGGATGAAACAGTGACAGTTAATGTTAAATGAAAATTTAATTGAATTAAGAATCCACTCATGCTGGTTTCCTCTGGATGACAGAATCCACATCACTGCCGGGTGCTGTGCTGTCAGCAGTGCACTTAGGCAGCTGCCAGACTTGATCCCAGAAGGGTAAATCTTGGAGGCTGGAAGAGAAAGGAGTATCTGCCTACATTTCTGTCCAGGAACTATCAGCCCCTAACACCTGTTTAATTTCCCAGGTGTACTGTTCATTTGTCGCTTGGAAATGAATCCTTCAAATGCTAATGTCCTTGACTTCCACACAGATTGTAATCAAAGGATCAGTGATACTGCAACTTTAAGCATTCCACCTAAACCTGCTTTATTGAAATTCTCTTTGAAATCTACTTCTTTGGCTCTAAAATAGAAATGACACAATGATATTGCCAGGATTCATGACAGTTTTAGTTTGAAGAGCACCTTCTTCTAGATTTCAGGAAAATAAGTTTTTCAGCCTGATGTTTTACTTAATATTTTTGCCAATAGAATTTGGGAGTTGGATGAATCATACACCTGTTTTGAAGAACTCACTGTAAAACATTTATTTCCCATATATGCAGACTAAATAATAATTAAACCAAACACAGACTGCCTTTGTAAACAGAACACAGAATGTTTCATGCATCAGACTCGCTGAGAGTTTCAACTTGAGTTCCTGGCGCTGGGATATATCTACAGATGCAAGAAATCAAATCTAGTAGAGTAATCTAATCTGGGATCTATCTACATGCAAGTAAATTTAAATTACTTCATGGAAACAAATGAATTCATAGAAAAGTGAATTCATTTTCGCCCTCCTTTACTTTGAAGACAGTCCTTCCCCATGATAAACAGAATATATTATTCCCAGCCTACCAGAACTATCTTTAAGAATGTCGTGGGGCCATCAGCAAAGAACTCTATACTGCTTAAAGAAATCCTATGTTCTGCTCACTAACAGAGTAAAATATTTCAGACAAGAGGAGACGCCTAATCAAGATAACTTTGGAGATCCAGATTATGAATTTAGCCTGAGTAACTGAGTTTTGTCCTGAATTGTGTCTTGGGGCCCATAAGCAGGTGACAGACTGTGGAGCAGTGCCCCTGCTCTGGGACCTTCTACATCTGCATCCACCCCACCGTTACATGGCTTCTTTCAATGTTGTGGCTTCTTTTTCAAGCAGGTTTCTATATCTGGGTGCAACAGTTCTTTCTATATATTCTTTCTATATATTTGTTCTAAATGGTGATTTTCTATTACATAACATTTTTATGGCATCTGTCTGGAATATAGAGTTTTCTTTCCAGTAGCATGCATAAGGCAGGTCTATAACAAGCTTTTCACTTTTCCCATTGGATGATTTCTGGTCCCTTGGGATAGCTCTATTATCAGAAAGATCAGTTGTGAAAATCAGCTTACGTAGCCCATCCCAGGGAAAGTAAATACAGCTTCTTTCTTAGGCACTTCAGAATCCTAAATTGTTTGCAACTTTTTCCGGAAAGAATTCTCACTTCCCTCACTGCTGAAATGGGATCACAAAACGGGAAAAAATACACCATGAGAAGTAAGTTTGTTAAAATTCTTGTTTAAGGAATTATTTGCAAATGCAAAAAGATGTGAGAAAATTAAGTCCAAAAGTTACCTTCAGAAAATCCTGAGGTCAAACTGCCTTAATGCTACTCCTTGTGTATCTTCACAATGAGTATTTTAAGCGGATTCCTCCTGCACGGCAGTACACGAGGTTAAAGGTTAACAACTGACCAATTCCTTGGACAAGGTGTTATTCAAAATCAGGTACTTAAGACATTTGCTAGAGGACTTAGCTATTATGGCTGTTTGGAATCAGTGCATTTTCCAGCAGGGAAAGTATTTAGGAGAACAAAAAGAGTGTGGAGACAGGGAATTTCAGAAAGCCTATCACCACATGAACTAAAAACCACCATTAGAAGCTGGGTTCTCTTAAGAAAAATCTGACCTATCCAAATAGGTTCTGTGGAATTTGTGGTCACCAGAAAGAGATGACAGCCTTCTCCACAAATACTTAAGCTTGGCTCTATTTAAGCTCTGTTTTCGATGTATACATGAGTTTTCTCTTCCCATGTTGCTTTCCTTTGATGTAGCTATGCCCCTCAAGATCTCACTTTAGGAGCTTGTAAAGCAAGTGGTAATTTTACAGCCAGGTCTGAATCAAAGGGAAAAGCTGTTGGAGGTTTCTGATCTTGCAATATTCCGAGTAATATCTCACTAGGGGTTGGAGTTTACTTGATGGAAACCTGAAATAATAAAAAATCTCATTTATATTGTCCTCTTTTGAAGAAGAGTTTATAATGTAAGTGGCCAGAGACATTCTAATTGTTTATGCAATGAGTACAGCTGTTGGATCTCCTTTTGATCTGGGTTGCAGGGTTTCTTCTCTAATTTTGGGGGGTTTGTACCTGGGTCTTTGGGGATGTTGAGAGGTTGGCTGTTATGGACAACACAGCTGTTTCCTTTGTTGGATATGAAAAGGTCCACAGTGGTTTTGAATGGGGTTTAGGGAAGAAAAGAAGGCACTTCCACAGCCTTAAAGGACCAGTACAGCTTTGTGCAAAAGTGAATATACTTTTAGAACTAAGTTTACAAAAATGTCACTATTGGATTCCACAGCTGTCATGAGGGGGGAGATGTTCATTCCACCTTGCACTAAAACACTGGTTTGATTCAGGACATTAAACAGCTGCTCTGCTACTGCTGCAATGTGGCTTTTCCATGGCAGATCTGTGCTACAGCCTCATGGTGTGCAAAACAGCTTTTAGCCACAAGGCAATTGTGATGTTTAAATCAAAGGCATCATGCTTGTAAGGAAGAATAGGAAGTGTTATACTTAGATATATTTTGGAGAAAGAAATACTGGATAGCAGTGCAACACATATATTTTGAAGAGCTGAATTTAGAAATGGGTTCTTCAGTGTGCTCGCTTTAACACACACATTCATATTCAGAAGATTTCTGAAACCCCAGTTAAAACAGCTATTTCTCTATAAAGAATATAAGAAGACTTAAAGTATGATTCAAAGACTAAGCAAACAATGAAAGCTTTCTATAGTTTTCAAAATACTTTTTTCTTTAAATCTCAGACTCTTCTCATTGTGGAAATAACTTTCTCAATGCACATTTCAATAAGATTCTTTCAACCTGCTTATCTCTTCTGACTGTGATATGAAAAAAAATATTAGAATACTAGTCTTAGAGATGATGTATAGGAGCTGGTATTGTCTCACTGGATATTAGTCAGTAGTCTTTGCTTCCATCCAATCATAAAATGCATTTTGAAAAGAGTAATAACAAAAAATAGAATGATTGGTTAAAAGAATGTATTCATGGGAGCACATGAAATGATGTTTAGCTTAATTTGCTTAAAAATACTTTGCAGAACAGGATATTTAAACAAACAAACAAACAAAAAAAAAGAGACAAAGCAGGAATGTAATCTATCCAAAGTGATAGATGGATAGATTTATCTCAAATCAGTGCTGAGGGCAGGAACAATAGTTGCATTTTATGATCTGTACCTTAATTCTTTGTCTAAACAGTTATTAACTGTGCTGAATAAGATGAGTGTGCCCAGCCTAATCAAACACAGCAGAATAAGTAGGGGGAATGCATGTGGAGAAAAGAAAAGAACCTTCATCTAACAAGTATAAATGTTATTAACCTATGAAATAGGACCCAGGTCCAGCTCCCCAAACTTGAATGACAATTTGCACTCTATCACATAAAAGCTTTTTATTTATTGTTATAATGACTTGTAATTTGGTTGAGATTTATCTTGCTTTTCTATAGAATGATTTCTAAAGAACAACCATCTGTAGGATGAGGAATTAGAAGCAGTTTTTAAATCTCTTTTTACTAGTTGAGTTATGAAGATAATTTCGTGGTAATTGAGGTTGGCAGTAAAGCCTGGCAAGATTGGGTTAACCAGAATTTCTTATAAAATGTAGGTAAGTCTGTAAAAGACCTGTTTTTCATCTGTTGTAGTGGATGAATGCTCCTGGGTTGATGGTTTTGCTGTTGACTCCAAAGAGCTAACATGTGGGAATAATTTTTGCTCAAGTGCTACTATTCCAGCTTCACTGAGGCTTTAGCTAAAGCACTTGAATTACAGCAGTTGTGATGACTTAGAGGAGAAGAGCTCACTCCATGAAAAAGCAGGATTGGACCACTTTTATTTGTCATGTAACGTATTTCCTTTTCTGATGAGACAGCAAGTTGTGGGGCTGGAGAGTGTGGCAGGAGAAGGGGACGGTGAAATGTGGATTTGCAGAGGGAGTGATACCTCCCACTGCCAGCTGCAGAGAAGAGGGAGGTAACACATTCAGCACCCAAGTGTGTAAGCTTATATGGGTGTGAATCATCTAAACACTTATTCCACTGATGGAATGGATGCCTTCCCAGATGAACTCCTCCTTGGTTTTGTGTATTTATTGTCATGGATAAGTAAGGCAGAAACAATTTCCTATGTGTAGCAGACAAATAACAAAACCCAAGAGTTATGTCCCCATTTTCATCTGAGTGAGACTTGGATGTCACTTCCTTCAGGAGAAATCTATGGGGTTTTAATTGTGGGAATATCCAAGATTCAGGATTTATCCCTCCTTCAGATTACCCATGCAGCCATATATTTATGTTTCAAGGGTGAGCAGGAAGATGTGGTCTGTGCTATCCCAGCTCTGTCAGGGCAGTTTTGTCCTCACCTCACTGACATATCTGTTGTTCTAAGGCACAGAAAGTGGCCTTTTCTTACTCTGTCACTTCAATTTGAGCAACACACAAGAAGCTGCCCCACATCCACTTTGCAGGGGTGGTTTAGACATTATTATTGCTGTGGAGGTAACACACACACTAAATATCAAAACCAGGCAGATTGGAAATTTTACTTGACCCACAGGTGCTTCTATAACCTCTTCTAAACTCCCACTGGTGTTTTAAAAGGCTTAAATACCTTAGAAATTTGAGTAAGAGACCAGATCCTACTCCTTTGGACATTGGCATCAAAAGACTTATGAGAAGAAAAGGGAGATATTGTTTGTGGAGCTAAGGCCAAATCCTGAAATGGCTGGGCCAGATTTCACCCAGCCTGTGCAAGTTCTGCCTCTGCAGTCTGGTGACGACCTGCTCCATCAGTCTGGGCTTTCCTCTGAGCCCTCTCCAGCCCTCAGCATTTTGGCTTTGCACTGAGAATGAAGTATTTCCAATTGTGCTTATTAGCAAGGCCATAATAAAACATTTATTTAAGACTATCCTTATGGGAAAATGCCTTAATTTTTTTATTAAAGAAGTGAAGTTAACAAAGCAAAGTCAGTTTTTGCCAGTTGGGTCCGGCAGGTATTTTGCCTACTTTTTCCATTGTTCTTACACATTATGAGAGGCATTAAATCAAGTCAGGGATTTTTTTTCCTCGTTCAGCTCCCTGCTCCCTGACACAGCTACTAAAATTATGTATTCTTTACTGCTTTCTAAGAAGATTACTAAGCCAGCTGACCCAAACAGTAGTGGCACCAATTAGACATCATTCAAAATTAATAACCACTACGATGATAACAAATCAAAAGATTGATTCTTCTGATGGGAGAATCATTTTAATTAATTTAATCCTTGTTGAAAGATCAGCTGTGCACAGTCCTGCTCACTAGTGGGGCCCATTTGTCCCTGTCCGTCCCCGTCACCTAAAGCCAGTGAATATGATCAGTAGCCAGCACTTAGGGAACAATAAGAAACAGATTGTACTGTCAGGCTTCATTAAAGATCATCATTAGTATTCCAATTTGGAAACAGTCAATCTATCCTAACCTTTTACCAATTCTTTTCAGCTGCTTTTGTGAAGTTTGGTTCAGCTGCTAAACGTAAAAAACGCTGCGGAGGCTTTTTTAAAACAACAAGTTGGGTCTGGCTGATGCCTGTCAGACAGAGCTTAGGGACAAAGCTCAGGGGAAATGCGGGTTATGCAACGATATCATGTGCAGCTGCTTATCATCTGAGCATTTATGGGCAATGAAACTTCCTTAAACTTGATGATGAATGGCAATGAAATGGATATGGCACTTTCTTTCATCCCACTGCTGAGGGGTTTTGTGGTCCCAGGGGTGTTTTTGCAGAGCTGGCTGGCCGGGCTCTCTGCTCTGCTCCTCTCAGTGCGGGCTGCTGGGGGCTTTTGGAGCACGTTGATCAGGGAGATGGAATTCCTGACTTGTTTGCAGTTCACTTTATCTTTTCTACCGAGGTCAGATTGCTTTGTTTGTTTGTTCTTCATTCTGGTGGCTGGAAATAATGATGGAGAAATGGATTATAGGATTTGGAGGCATATTTCTGGACGGTCATCCCTTTATCTCAGCCATGTCCCGTGGCTGTGCAGGAGATGCAGCTAGAATCTTAGTTTTCAAAACAGTTTTTCTGCCATGCTATGATCTCATTATTTTCATATTCTTGACATTTATGATTTGCTAACCTTCCCAGTTGTCCAACCATCTTCCTGAAGATATTTCAGGAATGCTCTGCCTGAAATACTAAAAGTAATGTACAATCCTATCATTTTGAATAATCTCCTCCTAAGACTGCTTTTTTTTTAAAAAAAAGGCAAGTTTGATTTTTTCTGATGTGTTCTTGTGTATCAGAAGGGATTCAACAGAGATTGCAAATGAAATCAGAATTAGGCCAGTAAAATAGAGACAAACATTAGATTTAACATTTCTTCTCACAGAAAAAAAAAAAAAAAAGGAACAGCTCACTCTCCAAATTTGATTATGAATTAAAAATGTTATTGTTACTGTAACAGAATGATCAAGAAAATCCCAACCGAAAGTACAAAGTACTTTTCAGCTGCTTTTGTGTAGTTTGGTTCAGCTGCTCTCTGTAAAAGCTCAAACACTTTCCTATAGTTTAGTACTAATCTAACTTCTGAATGCTTTATACCATTCAATAACCCTCCTGGAAACAATTATTTGCAATAACTGGTTGCTCATTGCATACATATTAAGATTTCTGATATTTGAATGCATGAATAGGTGGAGTTTTCTATAACAAAAATAGTCATAATAAATGTAGGTACTTCATAAGGATGATCCAGCCCAAAATCCAGTTTTCAAATGTTTTCCAAAACTAAGCCAGTACAACGAAAACATCATATTTTCACCACAGAGAAACATAAAATCCCTTAGTACAGAATTGCAGCTGAAACCAATGTTAATGAAGATTCTCTGTGAACTTGATAACATTTTCTTTAGTTTTATGCTTGCTATCTGGGAAAAAACAAACAAACAAAAAACCAACAAAAAACAAACAAAAAAACCCCAGAAAAAAACCCCCAAAAACAAATAAACAAAAAACCCAAACCAAAACAAAGAAAAATTCAGACCTCATTATTTTCTCCAAGGAAATAGAAAACCTAATTTGCTGAAAAAATACAATTCTGCTGTAACTGAATTTCAAATGGTTTAGTGAATGCTTTTTGCTGTGTAGAAGCTCTTGTACAGTTTTTCACTTTGACAAGATGGTTTTAATCCCAGGTCAAAGCCAATTATAGGTTTTGTAGATTAGAATTTATTTATTGCGATGTTATTGGCTATGTAAGTGACTACACAGATAATATTAATTATCAACATATATTACAGTGGTGAATAACATGAATATTGATAGGAATGTAAATTAAAATTTCTGGCATCTCACTGAAGATTGTCAGTCTTTCAAATGACTTATATTCTGGGAGTCCTTTCATTCTAAAATTGATTTATAATTTTCCAGTGACTGCTTTGATTATTTTGTCAGTTTTGCCCATGACAAGCCTGTTAAAAAAGGAAAGTCAGAGGAAGCTGTTCCATATTTTTATATCAGTACAACTGAGTTCCAAAGTATTGGCTTGTTAAATGTTTTCAGATGTTTCTTAATGTATCTCTTTTTGAAGTCAATCTTCTCAATTTCACTCATCTTTTCTTTTTTTCCCCTGAGGTTACTGATTTTGCTGTGATTTTTTTTCTTTTACCACTTGATTTTTAGCCATTTTTTTTCCTTTTTTATGTCACATACACCTTTATTGGAAAAGAATCCTTTCAGAAGAAAATATGTTAGTGCAGTAGGACTGTGAAACCACAAAGAGAAGCAGGGTGCCTCCTCTCTTGTTAGAAGCTATTATTATTATTATTATTATTATTATTATTATTATTATTATTATTATTACTATTATTACTATTATTATTATTATTATTATTTACAAGGTGTTTGTAAAGGCGATAATCTCCTTAGAAAGTAAAAGTAAGTATTGTACTATTTTTTTACCCTCGCTAAAATGTTAACTAAAAATGTTCATAAAATAACAACTTAAACTAATGTTTGCAGATATAGTCAATAATTTCTACAATTTCTTTATAATTACAAGGAACAAAATCACCTACCACAAGGATGAAAGAGAAAAAGGCCACAAATGGATGACCTGCAGAACTGGTATTTCCCAGTTAACTACTCCAGCACCATTCTGTGTGATCCTGTGTGTGCATGGAATGTTATCCTGCTGATAAAACACCACGTGGCTGTGTGTTCTCAGTGGTTCTCAGCCCTGTGGTTTGTGATGGGATCCACACCTGATGTTTTGCAAAAGGTAAGAGCCTGATTAAAGTCAGCATCTTGCCAACTACAGACTTCTGTTCCAAAGACCCGTCTCTGCTTCAATGTGTTGTGGGGGTAAAAAAAGTATGTAAAAAACCAAATTATTGCACAAAACAGGGCACTCTTTACTGCACCAAACTACTCATTGACTTCAGTGATTAATTTGTTTTGGTGGTGTTAGTAATTTACTTGGCAAAATGCCTTTGCACTAGGGAATCTGGTTGGAAGGACCACTATGAAATGAATAAAGTGAAAGAAACAGAATGTGGCAGTGGAAATCCATTTCACAGAGGAAATTCGAATGAAGTGGCTGTGACTCATCAGAAGAAATCTGACCAAATCAGCCAGAGTTAGCAGGTAATTTTTTTTAGATATCATTTACCTATTTCCCATGTTTTCAAACCATGCAGTTACTGTTTATACTGCAAGTACAGTTTCTGAGCTATTCTTAGAGGTGTAGCTGACTTGACATCTTTGATGCCTTTGAGTCCAGCAGCTTGTTTATGTGTGGTACAGATAAATGCAACAGCAACTTCGTTTATTTTATTTTAATCTTAAACTCTATCTCAAACTTCCCCTTCTTCCTCCTCTCCTCCTCCCTTTCTTTCCCTTCCCACCTCTTCTCCTCCTTCCCCTTTCTTTTCCTTCCTCCCTCATCCTTTCTTTGGCAGTACAGATTTGCTGCTCATGTAAATAGGGAAGAGAATTTATTTTTAAAAGTCGAGCTACTGGTGGGTTGCCAAGTGTAGTAATGAAGAAAAGATCAGAAACTCCTTTCACTGGAACTGGAGGCTTTCTTTACATGGACTTGGGCTGAGCTTTGCTTAAGACCATCTGATGCTCCAGAGATGTTTGAATCCAAACTGGAATTGCACTGCCCTCCTGCGTTCACAGGAGAAAAGTGAAAATGTGTCACAAAATGTTTCGTGACACGGCCCCGGGCCAGAGGAAGCGCCTCGTTTAAAATGTCATGATGGAGGAACAAAAGGAACACAATTATTCCTGCGCCCACCTACTTAGAAGAGCACAGAACCGAACTTATTTTGGCTAATCAGAGCAGATTTTGCTCTCAGGTTCACCCAGAACATACAGAAAAAGTGGATAGTCCAAACAATTTGGAGTGTTTTTTCCAACTATGCATTACTTGCTTAAGCATTGTGGAATTTTTGCAGGATGCTCTGCTTTTCCAGGCAGCCAGTTCAGGCTGCAGTGAAGTCTTGTGCAAAGACTTCATCAGTTCTGAAGAGACCACCTTGGAAAGCCATCAATGACAACGCATCCACCACTAAAAAGCTCCTAAAACAGATGGAGGTTGCCCAGTTGTTTCCTATCATCTCCCCACATGCTGGGTTAGGCAACTCATAAATTTCTGGAAAGCAGAAAGGAAGGGTGATGCTGTTGAGGGAGGGATGGACAAAAATACTCACACGGTTCAGAAGGCAAAAGAAGAATAGTGTCTCTAAGGTGAAATAGGATTGCTCTCCAAGTGAAAACCTTTCACACCATTGGTACACTATGAATAGCACACTGTGCACTGTGGTAGAACATATCTATAAACAACATAAACAGAAAGAGAGATAATTGTGGTAGGTACATTCTTTTCTCTTTCAGGATTTTTCATACAGGAGCACAGAGTAAAGAAAAACAGTTTCTATTTCTGCTCCTTGTTTTTCCCATGTGGAATGTGTTTGGAGAATTGTTTACCTGGGGTGAGTGCTTGGTTGGATTCTGGTGAGGATTGTTTGAGCCTGATGGCCAATCCAACCCACCTGGGGCTGGACTCTTCCGAGGGTTGCGAGTTGTGAGTTAGATATGGTGGTTAGAAAAAGTAGATTTGTAGTTTTAGTATCTCCTTGATACTAAAAGGGGTGTATGAATGTATTATAGTATAGTTATAATAATTCAGCCTTCTGAACTGGAGTCAGACATCTTCATTTCTTCCCACTGGCTTCACCTGCATTTACAACAGATAATAATTGTTTTCATTCCTTCTCCTAACTTTCCCAGGCTTGGCCTGGGAGAATTCTCTCTCTTTTCTCTCTGCCTGAACTGAGAACATCCACAGAAGGGCTGGTGACACGGCCAGGATGTACAACACAAAGATGTGCACGTAGCCATGAGCTGCTGGAGCTGGCAGCCACAGCCCCCAGGCTTGAGCCCAGGCACTCCAGCAGCACTGGCTGTGTCCAGGGCACAGCCTGGAGCCTGGCATAGCACTCCTGGGTGGCACAGTGTGTCCCTGGGTCATGGTGGGTGGGTGGGCTGGCTGGGTGGGGGTGTTCGAGCAGCCCCTCACAGGATCACAGAATGGTTTGTGCTGGAAGGAACCTTCGGGACATCAGCTAGTCCAACCCTTTTCACTACACCAGCTTGCTCCAAGCCCCATCCAAGCTGGCGTTGAGTGTTTCCAGGGATGTTTCTGGGCAACCTGTTCCAGTGTTTTACCACCTTTATCATAAAAAATGTTCTCCTTATATCCCTTTTTCTTTAAAACCGTTTCCCTTCCCCTCCCTCATCCTGCTTGCAGGCTCCTGAAGAGGTGATACATGTGAATGGTCCTGGCCCCCAGCTCCACAGCAGCACGGCACCTCCATCCAACAGCTATGCTGGAAATGAAATGGTTCCTGAGCGTTAGGAAAACAGGCTTTAGAGCAATCTCCTAATGAAAGCCTAGGTATAAGAAGAAAAGCTCATTTTAAAATGAGCCAGTGTGCTTAAAAGGAACCAGAGTGGCCTGCAAGAGCAATTAGGCAGAATGGGAAAATCTGTGCAAATACATAGAAAGTTGCACTGGCACAGGCTGCCCAGGGAAGCTGGGCTGCCCCATCCCTGGAAGTGTCCAATGCCAGGCTGTGCAGGACTTTGAGCAATCTGGCCTAGAGAAAGGTATCCCTGCCCATGGCAGAGGGGACTGGGATGAGTGTTAAGGTCCCTCCCAACCCAAAGCATTCTGTGATTCTGTGGAAGGTGTTGCTTGTTAGAGGGTGCTTTATACAAATCAGAGGTCCCCTGAAAGGTTGCACATTTTCTCATTTAAGGACTTTACACCACATATTGGGTAAAGCCTTCCTCCCTCTATTATGCTGCTATATTTTGGTAATGTCTCTTCAAAATGAGTTGGTTCTTCAAGGGCAAGGAGTGACACCTGCACCAAACAGAACATAAACAAAGTATGCAGGCAAGGAAAGCAGGAATCAGGAGACCAAACACAACTTTATCCATTGTGGCTGATAAGAGATAATCAGGACAGCTCCTGAGGAGGACAGATTTGGGATAACATAGCAAAGTATTAGTTCAGTAGGGTTGCATCAGTTTTACTGTAATGGAAATATAAAAGTGGCAATTGACATTTTTGAAGTTTTTTGAAGACAGACTCATGTTTTGCTGTCACAGATTTCTTCTGGGGAACAAAAGTGAAAACAATATTGATAGAAAAATCATTTATTGTCAGGTATTTCTGAACATTGAAGCTGGAAGTCAAAATAAACTGAGACTCAATCTAAATGTTATTGAACTACTGTGCATCCAGATGAATTAGTTTGGAAATTGGCTGTTGGCTCAAATTCTACCCTGGATCTGGATCTAGATTTTTAGTCTCCAGCTACTCTGACAGTTCTGGGGCTTTGAAGTTCAGAAGACAGAATTTCAGCATGCAAATATGGTCATTAAAGAAACCAAGTAATTACTACCCAAACCCATGCCTGATCGATTAATAGCAAAACTGCATAATTGTTGTCTCTAGCATGCTCTGAATGTTGCCAGAAATGAACCAGTGGTCTGGAGAACTTGAGCAAAGCAGGAAATCTCCTTGCTGCTCATGTAACTTGGACGACAACTGCTTGATCATCTGCCTCAGCTTCAGCTGTAGGATTTGGCTGCCAGTTCCAGTAAACAAGTTGGGTGACCTCAGTTTTGTAAAAATGCATAAGCATCACTAATCTCTGTCTGCAGAGGCAGGTGACTCGTACCACCAAGTGAAACTTCAGAGGAATTACTCTAAATTGTGGCCATTTGTAATGATTCACAGGGATTATTCCTGTGGGGAAGAACTCCAGAACAACAGCTCGCTCAATGTGACAGCAAAAAGTATTATGTTTACAAGTTTTCTTAGGAGCAGATCAATAAACAGAAGCAAGGCATGCTGAAATTCTTACATCTACAGCACAATAAGTTCAGCCTTTCTATATTTAAAGGGGCCTTATAAGAAAGATGGGGACAGGCTTTTTAACTGGGGTCTGTAGTGATAGGACAAAGTGTGATGGTTTTAAATAAAATGAGGGCAGATTGAGACTAGGTAAAAGGAAGAAATGTTTTGTAGTGGGGTGGTGAACACTGGAGCAGGTTGCCTGGAGAGGCTGTAGATGCCCCATACCTGGAAACATCAAGGCCAGGTTGGATGGGGCCCTGAGCAACCTGGTCTAGTGGAAGATGTTCCTGTTCATTACAGACAGGTTTGACTAGATGATCTTTGGATATCCCTTCTAACACAAACCATTCTAGGATTCTGAGATCAAGGGGTTTATAATCCAGATCAGATTTACTCTGGTGCCCTGGACTCACTATCTGCACCACATTTGTGGTTTGAAGCAGTCTAAACAAGCAGTTCAGACCCTCAGTTCAGCTGCAGAGCAAATCTGGTGTGCACCTGGAGGGAGCCTCTGGCTTACCCTCTTCTGAAAAGAATCCAGTGTGCATCCACCAACAGGGGTCTGCAGATCCAAATGACAAATCAGAAGTGGGAGCACTTCAAACCTCTAGTGCTGCTCCAACACAGAACAAAATGCTTTGATAGATGAAGCCACTACAGTCTTGACAAACAGCTGAGGTTGTAACCTTGCACTAATGTAGATTAGACAGAAAAAGTGTGTCTTCTGCTTTCCTGAGTAACTTCATTAATTTACTAGTTTTTCCTAGAAAAAGCAGCACATTAAACACAAAACATTAGGGCGCTTTCAAGACAAGTACTCTGGGCAAGAAGAGAAAAGCTTTCTGCCCATGGTAAATAAAAGATGTGGAGTTTCACACTGACCTGGATGGACTCCTTTCCATGTCTGAGCTGGCTTGCAGAGACTGCTGCCATCAGGCCATGCCCAGAGCCCACAGAGCAAGAGCTCTTCCTGATTTCCAGCCCTTACCACCTCTTTATGATGATAGTGTGTTTCCCACTGTGCTGTCAAATAAAAGGTTTCAGGTTTCATTCCCTATGTGTTTTTAGGTGTTCAATTAATCTTTACAGAATGTCCAGGTGAAGATTAGGTATCAGCGGTATTTTTCTCCTGTTATTACACAAAAATAATTCTATGAACAAGGAGTAAACTCTTTTTCTGCTTCAAACAGCACAGGCTATCGCACAATACATCTGCAGATATAATTAAAATTTCAAAAAAAAAAAATTACATGATAGCTGCTGTGCAGAACACCTAGCCTGAAACAAAATATGTGTTGCTTTATCCTAGAATTTGAGAGCAGTAGGGTTGTTCAGATCTTCAATCAACAATCATTTTCTAAAGTTATCATCACTGGCCTCAGAAATAAAGGATTTGGAAAGGAATTGCAAACCGCAGTAAATACTTACTTGAGTGAGTATTAATTTTAGTATTGTTTCTTGTTAATTCTTATTGTTAAAAATACAAAATTGAAGAAACTTCTTCAACATTTGTGACTTTGTTTTACCGCTGGCAGATGCAAAAGGGTCATTCACATTAGCTAAAGAGAGAGTATTATTGCTTTATTTAGGTTGGCAGAAAATTACATGTTCCATATAAAATGTCTGAGATTTAACAGGTCAACCTCTTTTGAACATTATGTGTAGGTGTTTTGTTATTATGTTCCACTGTTTTGATGAGTATTTTCGATAGGATAGATATATGTTCTGAGAGAAGAAGCTGCTGAAAGAGAATTTGAGAAGAGCCTGTAAAAGACCTGAGCTTATATGGAAGAATCATTTGAAACCATTACTCAACAGCCAAATTTAGAGCTGTTTTAACATTACTCTCCCAGTAGATACTCTCACAGTAATTGTGCTGACTTTTGGAAGTCACTGATCTGAGATGTTTCCTCTGAGACTTTACATCTGCAGTCTGTTTCAGAGCTAGGACCCTGCTCTCAAGGTTGATGACTTAGGAAATCTATGTTTTGTTTCAATAGACTTCCCAGAGGATTTTATCAGCTGAAATAATCTTTCCCCTTCTACTTAAAACACAGCTTGGGTCTGTTAAGTCCCTGCACAAAGAGCGTAAAATGTGTGTCAGTTCATTTTTTTACTTTTAGTTAACTCCTTTAGTGTCAACAAGGACTTTTCCTAGAGTTAACTACCTTGTACTGAAGAGTCAAGACCACCCATTTCAAGACTTGTTTCAGGCAGAGTATGTGCAACACATCTGAGGCATCAGCTTGCCCACAGCCCTTCCTTCCTTGTTGCTGCAGAAGGAGAACATCTACAGGAACAATTCAGCAGGGGTAAGAGGAGTAAAACCCAGACTAAACCCAGACTTGCAGAACCAGCTCACTGAGCCAGCATTGTGTCCCTGGGTGCTTCAGAGGCTCAGTGTGTGCCCATCAACACTGCCTGTCTGCCCTAACCCTGAATTATCCTGCACCACCTGAGTAAAGTGCCATTGTATTGCCAGCTCTCATACCCACCTCTCCAGGGCAAAGGCAGGCAGGCAGCGAGGATGAGTAAATCCAAGAGGAATTGTGTTTGTAATGCTGCACTCCTTGTGCCTCACAGATCTGTCTGGGAGCCACCATGCAAACACAGGCATCGTCCCAGCCCCACAAGGCTGTGGCTTGGAGGTGAATTCTGTCAGAACTCAAAATGTCCCTCAGACATTTTTGGAGGTTCCAGGCCCAGGTCAGAAGCATTTGAGACCCTGGCAGGCAGCTGGAAACAGCTGTGATTTTGGGTTTGAACCATGGAATGATTTACCAGCCTTGCAGGAAGAACAAGAAGTCACAAAAGTTTAGATATTATAGTAGAAGTAGTCACAAAGTAAAGGGAAGAATTTTTGAGTGCTGTACAGGGGGGGGTTGGTTTTGTACATGGGGGTCAGAGGTTTTAAGATGGAGGGATTTGGGCCTGTCCTCCCTCCCTCTTTCTTCTTCCTTATCTCCATGTTCTTGGTGATGTTGGCACTCACTCTGATGTTGGTTTAGAGTAGAAAGGCACCATTTAATATAGGTAATGGGCATTGGGGAAAAACTGTAACCATGTAACACGTAATGTACCATATAAAAGATAGAAAAGCACCATTTAATATAGGTAATGGGCATTGGGGAAAAACTGTAAACATGTAACACGTAATGTACCATATAAAAGACAGCAGCAGCCCTGGGTGGGGAGAGAAGAAGCAGTCGGGAGTGAGAGAGGATGTCAGGGTGTGTGTGTGCCTCTGCCTGAGCTGCTGAGCAAACCACAGCAGCCCAAGGAGAAAATCTTTTAGATAACTTGTAATAAACTGCCTTGAGACCGGACAACAGAGACTGCTGAGCCTTTCTTTGGAAGCTTAGGTTGGAGGAGAGACTTTTCCACCACACGGAGCCACCCCCAACCTAGGGTGAGCTCTGGCAGAATTCAACATGGTTCAACAGTGCAACAGCTGCTTTGTGAGCATTTTATATATTGTAAATCAAAGAAGCTTACTTCTCCCACTCCTTAGTGCCCCAGCCCACAGACTAAGCAAGATTTTACCATATTGCTGTAAAAAGAAATGGGAAGGCTCAGTAGCTCTTGTATTCTTGTTTCAAACTGATGGATTGAAGGTGAAGGAGCCAGTAAAAGTGCCGAGGGTTTGGTGGCATAGGCTCATGTTTAAACTCATGTGAAATATTTGCAAACATCTACTTAAAAGCAACATTAAAAAAACAGACCTCTTTCACTTTTGTGGCTTTGCTTACCAGCTACAGCGTGCCATATCAGAGTGTGAGCGTTGGGAAGAGACATCTGAAATTTAGCAGCTTTAAAAAAAATAACCCAAAAAAACAACCCAAACGTTTTTAATCAGCTTGGGAGCCCAGTGGATTTGTGAAATCGTTTGGGATTAACAGGCTATTGATTGCTAATAAAACAATATTTAGCTTTGTCTGATGAACAGCAATGGAAAAAGGTGTGGGCACCTTGTCAAACACGAGCCATTGAGGAGGGATGATGGGTTAAGTGTGGGGGTCTGAGTGGCAGCGTGGGTGCCCAGTCTTCAAGGAGAACTTGTCAGTTGTTAGTGAGGCTGGTGAAAGGAAGGACGCCAGCGCCTGATGGCTGGGGTAGTATTGATGCAAGTTAGCTGACTAATCAGATTGAAAAAGTCCCATGGTATTTATGTCACTTTAATTTTCATCAAACAATTGGAGACGACAGCACTCTATTAAGAAGAGGTTGATCCAGAACTAAAGCTAAATAAATTAGGGTCTCAGTTAAATCAAATTATCCCTCTGCTGGCCTTGGATTAACCAAGGGAGACAGCGTCAGTCTAGGCACTTTTCATTGGCTGGTTTATTTTTTTTTTTTTAAAGAAGTTGGTACAAAGAATGGGAGATTTAACACACAGCTACTACTCATAATACCTCAAATAAGCACCTTTTAAAGAAGCAGGAATTAATATTTATCAGGAAAATTTGCAGTTTTACTGAAGGCTATTTCCATTTTTATGTTAGGAGGGTTTTTTCAGTGAAACAAACTGAAAATGGGGCTAAAATTTGTCAACAAAAATCTAGACCAAGAGAACCTGAAACAAGCTGGCACAGAAATGAAAACACTAGCCTAATGCTACCTAATGATTTCTTATTGGACTCATATTTTAGTTTACCTGCTCTAAAAATGCTTTAATTACACATTTACATTTTGCTATTGTTTATTTACATTTTCCGTGCAGGGTAAGAAATTCTTTTTCCTCTTTCCTACATTCTTTACTCCTCTGGGTTTAAAAATCTTTGGTTGTCTCTGAGAAAATAATTTTCCCAAGCTGCCTTATATTTTCTCCTGCAAAGTTTTCACTAGAAGTTTACAGCAAGAGATAGTAACTGTCTTTTCAATAGTAATAACATGAAAAAAAAATCCTGTGTTTATAGTTCCTCTACAAAGATTTAACTGAACTGTTGCAATAAATCTTTCAAGATCCTGAACTCTTGAAATATTCCAAATCTGCATGTTGTCATAATCATGGAAAAGTAATTCTGATTTTCTAGACATAGAAATGAAAGTAAAATCCTTTGCTGGAAGCTATGAACTGAATTCATCCCAGTTCACCACAAAATTTCTTTTTTTAAATGTAAACATTAAAATGTAAATAAATGTAAATAAAATGCCTCCTTCCATCTTCCATCTTTGTTGCAAAATTAAAAATAATTTTTGTGAGAAAAGCAGGGTAATTGGATGTAGTATTATGCCTGAGTCTACTTTCTGATTGCTTCTTTCTCTGACTTCTAGCTGGTTTTTCAGCCCATAATCTTCAGTGTTGTTCCTCATTCTTCTGAGGCAACCACAACTTAGGGAAAGTGAAGCTGAACAAATAAATATTTGTATTTTTGTTACATCTGTCAAAATGGAGGTAATGGGATCAGTTGTGATCTAGTGCACACTCAGGTAAATAATTTTCACTGCATGTGTAATAGACCTGAGAAGTATGACTGGCTTCTGTTAGTCCCTATTCTCCCATAATCTACAAAAATTTCATAGTCTTCCTCTGCTTGCATTTCATTTCTGTTCTTATTAAGCCCTTGGAAATGCAGGCATTAAGCATCTGGTTCCTTACATAGCTATGCACACATATCCTAATTTCCTAATGCTCCCTTCATTTAGGATTTCTAAATTTCAGCTCAAATAATTTGATCCTTTCTTTTTTCTTGCAAATTCAAGATTCCACTCTTTGGTCAGCTCTGATGGACATAACCTTGCAGATGCTCATCCCTGCACAAGATGGGTTTGTTTGGTTTTTTTTTCCCCAGGTAACTCATCTACTTATTTCCTTCCAAAGCTTGCTAAATACCTGACATCCACTCTTGTGATACTAAGCATCTTGCAGATACTATAAAAAAATGTTAAGGACCAAATAGTTGCTTTTGGGGGGCTGTTTTCAATGCACAGCCCTCACAGTTCTGCTAGTTTGACCTGAAAGCTTATCAGAATGCCACCTATTTTTGCTGGTTTTCTTACTGTGGATGAATAAAGATCATGTATTTTCATGGTAAAGATGTGATCTAAGGTAAATGCTCCATTTTATTTCAAGCTGGGATAGGATTCTTTTGGTAGTTTTTCTGCACAATCATTTACTCTAAGTTAAGGTATTTTTTTTCCCTGTAGAAAACAGACATTTTCCCTGCAGAAGCACAGGTATTATGAGACAGAAAAGTTGGAGATGCTAACAGCTGCTATCTCTGTGAACAATGATTTATCCCCAACATGCTTATTAATTCTTTTATCTGCATTTACCCTTTGGACAGAAACAGTCAATGTAACCCTAAAGACCAGTGATTTTTCAAGGATCTCATTATTTTTGTAGCAATACCTGTTTGGAGAGATCTCAGTTGGATTCCAGTGGTCTGTAGCACTTGAAACTATCCCATTTTCCTCAAGCTGCTCCACAATGCACATTTTATGGAGTCACTTCTGTAGAGGTCTAAATGCGTGTGTGTGTAGCATACTGAATCCCACACTTTGTAATATAACCATAACCCTAGTTCCAGGGTGAATTATTGTTTAAACAAGAACAACAACAAACCCAAATCCGCCTAGTAAATAATACCCCTTCCCTGCCACCCACTCCCCCCCCCCCAAAAAAAAAAACCAAAACCAAAAACCCAAGAACCCAAAGCCTGCCCCTGTCCAGATAAAAGTTTTTTTTTTTCAGCCCATACTTTCCTTTGGCAGCCTTTCCAGCCCCACTTCAGCTCCAGATCTAGCCTTACCTTCTCTCTCAATCTTAAGCCTAACCCTGGTTTGAGGGTGAGCCCTACAAACAGTATGATGGGCTTTGCCCAGATAAAAAATGCCTCAGTCATTTAGTATACTAAATATGGTCATCATTTTATGAAACTTTGAAACTGACTGAGCATTTAAATTCAGAATAGGAATTCTGCTCTGAATACTACTAACTTTTCCTTATGATAAGAATAAAAAATACCTTTTGACTACAGTTCATTCCCTCTGCATACAAACTGGCACTCTTATTTCCTAATTTATACTTCATTTAACTCTTTCCAAGCTTCTATTATTTGAACAGATTCTAAATTTATCCTTTGGCTGTGAAGGCAACAAAGGGTTAAGAGCTCACTGTCATTACTGATGTTTTACTTGTGGGGATACCATTCTGCAAAAGGTTTCTGCACCTTGTTCTGTTGCACCTAAGGCCTCTGGAACTGTGCTTTTTGTTGCTGTGTGATGTGGGGAAGTGACAGCTTCATGTTCATCTCTACACATCTTAAAGGCTCAATGAAAAAGCCACTATCTGTTCTATCTGCCTACAGAGCATTTCCATCATTGAATCAATAAAACTGCAACAAACTGGAGTTGGAGGACTGAATATAAGTGTATTTGCTTTTGGGAGTGTCATTCTTGGCACTTACGTGTAGCAGGCCACCTTTAGCATTCAAGGAGTGTAAAGCAAAATTTTGGACAGTTTGAAATTTCTGGATAGAAAATGTTTTTGAAAAATTGTCTTTAGTTTTGTGTTTCATGGCTGTGAGCTGTTGTCTGCTCTGCTGGTGACCTTGAGTGGTTAAAATTAAAAAATCCAACTCTGACTATACAACTAAGAAGTAATTTGGTTTGTTAATATGAATTTTTAAAAATCTGCTCTCTCTTTTTTTTCCTAATATATTTTACACAAGGTAAAGTCATAGCCATTTAATAATATTTAATAATAGTTTGTTAAAAATACTTTTTTTTTGTTTTTTTGCTACACAATTTCTATTAGCATATTTCTTTGGTTTTGAATCATGAAAAGCATGGGGGCCACAAAAAAAGTGATGCAGGTAGAGAATAAAGTTACATATGTTTGGAAATCCGGATGAAACAAAGCCCACAAGTGATATGTTGATACCATATTTTGTCTGTGAACACCCTCCAACAGTCTCCCCAGTGTTGTGTTTCCAGAACTGCAAAAAAGTTTGAAATGCAGTAAAAAAACCCCGCAAATATTTGAAGTTTCTTCGCCTTGGCCCAGATTATGAAATAGTAATCCATTACATTGTAAATCTTCCTGTACCATGCAAATCCCTTTACAAGGATTAGGAGATGGCAACAAAGATGATCATATTTCAATAGATACCAGTGTAAATTTTATACTTCTGCTGCAGATTTCATACAGTCCTCACCCAACACACTACATACAGTGACCCAAACAAACAGGTGCTTTACATTTATTGAGAATCTTAATTCACAGCACAATAAAAAAGAAGGCTCGGTTACAAGGCTGAGTGGCACATTCAGCCTGTGCTCTCTGAGGGGACTCAACAATAGCTGAGGGTGTACAATGGAGCAAAGACGATGCAATCAGTGACCCCCTGGCCCTTGGGGGCAGGAGGGGGTAGAGGAGAATTTCAGTAAAACACAAAGAAGCTGCTGTTTCTGCTTTTGCTGCTATCAGCCTGGGTGCTGCTGACAGAGCAGTGCCTGTTAAATCTATTTCTGCTCCCGACTGTATGGGCAAGAGTAGAGGGAAACTGCGTTTTATCCTTCTGCATCAGTCCTGTTTCTTTCAGGGGATTGGATCCTACTTAGGGGACATGAGGTAGAAGCATCTGACTTGGCTAGATTTCCTCTGTACACTAAAGGAATGCAGCACTTTGCCAGCATTTTGCACTAATTCTAATTCATTGAGTAGTACTGAATTGCTATGCAGGAAAAAAAAAAATTCCACGAGAAGTGCTTAGTTCACACCACTAAGTAGTGTCTGCAAAATTGGTGCTAGCTCCTCATACCTGAAGAAGTCTGAATAGATATAGGGTTTTTTAAAAGTACAGGACAAAATTTGTGAAGGAGTCTGAGTTCATAGCTCTTAGACACTTGTTCAAGTTTGGCATTCTGGTCTTATCTAAAACCAGTTTCCAAATTTAGGTTTTTCATGTCCCTCTGGATTTGCCTATAACTAAGCAAGCCTATCCTGTTTAATTAGTACCATACTTAAAAGTCTTTGTTAGGTTTAAGAGGTAGGAAGGTGAAAGGGAAAATTAAGGTATATGGACAGATATACAAGTACAGCTGAGAGATCAGGGACTGTAATCCAGACAAGTAAAATCAGACTTTCATGTTTCTTTCCAGAATTCTGTATCCCACTCTTTTTTTTTTTTTTTTAAATTTGTTACCAATCATTTCAAATCTCTTTGCTTTTATACTCAGCAAACACTACTGAATTTGCATTCTAAAAATGAGATGACAATCAAACCCTTGGTTACACCCCTCTACAAATGATCAAAAACTGCAAAGATGATGATAATGCTGACTGTCACTCTGTTGAGCAATGATTATAATGTATTAACAAACTCTTGGTAGCTTCCCTTACATTGAGAGATACATACTGAGTGCTCTTGCAGACTCAGCCTTTGTAAAATAAATATCACAGAATCATAGAAGTCTGAATTGGAAGGGATAATCAGGATGGAGTCCAACTTCTGGTCCTGGGCAGATCAACCCAAGGGTCATACCATGTGTCTGAGAGCACTGTTCAAATCCTTCCTGATCTCTGCCAGGCTTGGTGCTGTGACCACTGCCCTGCACTGTTCCAGTGCCCAAGCACCCTGTAGATTAGCTTCTTATGAAAAACTAGATGCAAAGGGAGAAAACTATCACCATGTCTGAGCTGGTGAGCAGTGTGGCACAAGTGTAGCAAAACATGTGCTGCTGAAAATCCAATACCTGGTACCTTTGAGATTTTCACTTCAGGCTAGCAGCTGTAGTTTGTTCCTGTGTTTGTACCTGGAGCAGCCAGGTAGTTTCATTTGGAAAAGGAACCCATTTGATGTGTGGTGTGACCACGCCGAGCACCAAAGCATAGTAAGTGGGGGAGTTTGGCAAATCAGCTTTTAAATATGTTTGATCTCCCGAACCAAAGTGCCAATGCACAGTCCTGCAAACTTCACTAACTTTTTAACCTACTCACGGATAACCAATTTGGTCTAAAAGTACAAGATGTCATTTTAAAATGTGTGATGCCTAGGGAGACACAGCTGAACTAACAGCAGTGATGAGACATAGCAGATTTCTTAAGTCTGTTCTGTTAGGGAATAAACACTGCACAAACACCTGACTCTGAGCAGTTCTAGCAGGATGCAGAGCTTACCTCTGCTCCTGCCATTATATAAGGTAAATCAGCTCCCAGGTGAAATAGTAATTTCCTTATCTTTGGAAATATTTGTAGTAGCACAGATATGAACTCAGACACTTTGAGGGTACAAATTATAAAAATTCCAGCTTTGACATTTCCCCTAACACATCTTGCTTAGGAGAACCATGGGAACCAGCACCGTTTGTTTCTAAAGAGATGTGTGCTTCTGTCAGGCACAAAATACAGAGAAAATGAAGGAGCTTCAGTAACCCAACTGGAACATCAGGTGCTAACTGTGGTCTTCAAGTGATAAGCTTCATGCTTTGGTTTTCTATATAGTTTTTAAACCATTTTCTAGTTTATGCATTTTAATGAGATCTCATTAAAGGACATTCATTATAAAGGACACTAGGAAGAATTTCTTCATAGAAAGGGTGATTAGACATTGGAATGGGTTGTCCAAGGAGGTGGTGGAGTCACTCTCCCTAGAGGTGTTTAAGGAAAGACTGAATGTGGCACTTAGTGCCATGGTCTTGTTGCGAAATGTGGAATATGTAAAATTTCCTTTAAAAAGGATGTGCTATAACATTTGATCTTTGCATACTTTCAAGCCTAACCAACAAGAAGGGAGATCTAATTGGTGGGAGAACCACTAACAAGCTCTAAGGGATCCCCAGATGGTAGAAATCAAATTACTTGTTGGTAGAATTACCTTGTTAAGGTTTAGGGCTGGAAACGCTTCAGTATCTCAGACCTGGGGAAGGTTAAAGCTTGGGAAGAAGGATGTACCCCTGATAGTGAACACAAAGAATGCAGAATTTATGAACCATAAGGACCTATGGCAGAGACCCTATTGATGTTTGTTTTACGCTGGGCCCTTCTGGGGGCTCCCCAAATGGGGGAAAACCTCCTGTAACAGTTCTGTGCCAGGAAGAAGGAGACACATGCAGAAAATATACCAGAGTTTCTTGTTTTAAATAGAAATGTATGCATAACCATGAAGTATGTATGAATATGCAACAGTGTATGGTTTTTAAGGGTTATTCCTTTGTTCACAAAACATGTTTTTGGCAGCTTAGTGCCCAAAAACATCTGTACATCTGTAATTCTTTGCTTTTTTATTGTCTTGTAATTGTTCTAACACTAAATTTGTATTACTTTAATTGTATTACTATTTTTATAACCATGTTATTATTATTATTAAACTTTTAAAAATTCTAAAAACAAGTGATTGGCGTTTTTCACAGTTGACATCTCTGGGGTGTGCTTTATTGGCTTGTTGCACAGCGGGCAATGAACCCGAGTTTTGCGGGCAGTCTAGATGACAGTGAAATGCGGATGAAAAATCAAATTCTATAATTTTAATAAAGATTTGTAGGGAATGGTATGTTTATTTACAGCACTGTGGACGCATGTTGGGGCTTATTGCCTTTTGATGGACGTGTACTTTTGAGAACTCTTGATCATTTTGTATTACCTTTACTAATTTCTATATGCATAGAATTTCACAATAGGTTAATGCATATTCATTTTGCTGATTTCACATTATACTTACAGCTAGTTATGCTTGTACTTAGTTAGAAAGTACAGAAAGAACTCTTGGGTTACTCTGTCCTGTCCGCTTTAAGGTCTGAGGAGTCTTTCTTATCTCTTATCTTTTAGTGTGGAAATTTGCATTCTTTTTCCTCAGTTGGGGTAGTTTTGCTAGGCCTGTAGTCACTAGACTAAACAGCATATTTAGTAAGCTTAAAGTGGCACATTTCACCTAAATTCATACGGATTTCTACCCTGTTAAATTTCACTCTGTCCCAACAGGGTGGTGCTTGCTCACAGGTGGGACTCGATGACCTCAGAGGATTCCCCAACCTCATCGCTTCGTGACTCCGCGGGTCTGTCAGTCACTAAACCTTATTTAAAAACCGACATTTAAAAGCGCCTGCTGCTCCCTCTAACCCTCCCACGGCAGTGCGAGGCACCACCAGCCGGGCGGGGATCCCTGCTCCGCGCTGGAACGCGGGGCGCCCTCCCGTGAGGGGAGATGGCCGAGGGATGGTCCCGGGGTCCCTCTGTCCCGGTGTCCTTCTGTCCCGCTGTCCCTCTCTCTCTCTGTCCCGGTGTCCCGCTGTCCCTCTCTCTCTCTGTCCCGGTGTCCCTCTGTCCCTCTGTCTCTCTGTCCCTCCGTCCCTGCGTCCCTCACTCCCACAAGATGGCGCCGGCCCAGTCCCTCAGCGCGGCGGCGGCCGGAGGCTGCGCCAGGGGGCGCGCGCGGCCCCGCTCCGGCCCCGCCGCCGGAAGCGGCGCGCGCGGGGCGGCGGCGGGACATGGAGCGTGAGGGGGAGATGCGGGACACGGAGCGTGACATGCCGGACATGGAGCCTCAGGGGGAGATGCCCGAGCTGTCCGACGGCGAGGGCGCCTGGGACGACGAGGAAGAGGAGGAGGAGGAAGGTGCCGCCGTGGCCCAGCAGACCCGCTGCCTCTTCTGCGACAGGTGAGGGGGACGGGGCCCGCGGGAGGGAGATGGGGTATCAATCCCTGCTTTGTAACCTCGCTGTGCTGCTTGTTGATGGCATACACGGCCTCTGTGCAGCCCACGGTGTGTTAGATTCAAACCGAAGGAGGGAATAATGTGGTAACCCCCCTCCCTCGTGCTGAAGCAGCGTGGACGTTCTTCTCCTTTTCTTTTTCATCTTTTCCCCATCGCGAGTATCGAGATGAGAGGTTTTTTTTCGATGCAGCCGATCAAACTGCCCCACCCACCTTGTGTCGGTGTGGTTTTTAGGTCTCGGGTTTAACGCAGGCTTTGCTGTCGGTGTTTGGAAGTTAGCAGGATCTGCGGTTTTGTCAAACAAATTTTTTTGTGTTCGTTGGCTTTTATTTCAAAATGTTTGACAAACAAGGTAAAAGCTTTGTGAGGCATGTGAGCCTGGTCATCCTTTCTCAAAGGCAGGAAATGGGTTCTGACTTGCCCAGTAAGTCAAAACAGAGCATATAGCACTCATAAGTTAGAACTTAATGTGTCAATATTGCATATTTAATAGTTTGTTATTTACAGGTTGTTTAGTTCTGCTGAAGCCGTGTTCTCCCACTGCAAAACAGAGCATCAGTTTGATGTTCGTGATGTGATCCAGAAACATGGTAAGTTTTTTTCATGATGTGTCATTTCCTTTTGTGTATGATTATCTCATTTAAAATAAGTTGCAAATATTAATTTGTTTCTAACTGATAGCCTGGTTTGCAGCTGAAGCTTCCAAGATTGAGTAAGATGTGCTATTGTAGAAAAATGCTTATACACTTTCTTTATGTATAAAAAGCATGCTTCCTGTATGCTTTTTCTACCAGTACAGCTCTCAAACCAGTGACAAAAGTGAGGCTGATCTTTGCTGGCTTGTGCTGATTCCTCACTGCCTACTTGATTGACCTGAACCAGACACTACAGAATTGATCTGATCTGATCTGCCGGGAGCGCTTGCCTGACCAGTGATGCTGGTTTTGGGCTCAGCATTTAGCAGAGCCCCGTGCCTTGTGTCCTTCAGGTGATCACAGGAAGGCTTACCCCCTCCCATGTCTGTTAAATTCTTTTTAGTCAAGTTTAAGGTTGGCTCTCACTTGAAGTTGTCATTATATATTATATATTGTAATATCTAGGCTGGTCTGTTTTCTGTTTAAAATCCAAGAAAAAGTATTTGGGGTTTATCTTTTTGCTCCTGGGGAGAGAATACAGTTAAACTCGTACTACTATTGCCAAGGTGGCAATTTTAAATCAATATTGGTAGGTATTCTTGATGAGTAGCATCAGTTTACATTCTTCTAAGCAGAAAGCTAAGAATATGAACAGAGAAGCACAGCAGCCTAAAATGTCAGCCAGGAGAGTGCAGGAGAGAAGAATGGCTCTCCTGATGTACTTGCTTGCCAAATGAATGAAATCCCTGTCCATAGTTCCCATTTGGACGTGGTGCATTCTTAATTTGTGGCAAATGTATTTGCCCTGAGGGTGAAGATTTCCTGGGTTAGTCCTAAAGAGAAGAAAAACATAGATGGCAAACTTAAGATAGGAAGAGTGCTCTAGATAGTGATGTACACCCAAGGGGAAGTTTGAAACAATTACCAATTGAACAGGTAATTAGTATTCACTTAACTGTAAAACGTGTGGTCTTTTCTGTAATACAAATGCTCTCCCTTTTTTTTTTTTTCCTCCACTCAGGACTTGATTTTTATGGATACATTAAACTAATAAACTTTGTCAGATTAAAGGTAGGTGTGCCACATACTGCTTCTGTGTTCTCACTCTGGAGAATAGCGCTGTGGTTTCAGTCTGCCCATCTCTAATAATTGTGTGAGATTTTGTATTGAAGTTTTAGAAAAAAATATGGGAATTAAAGTAGCTGTTGATCTGTTATCTAGATATGAGGCTGTTCTAAGTGTAAATATATTTAATTAATGTGACAGTTTGTTTTCAGAAGGGGTTGTTGAGATTTGCATAAAGCCTGCATGCTGTGTAGTATCATCTTGTTTGGGTTTTCTGGGCCTCTGACTCTGCTGTCTCACTTCAAAAATGAGTTCACTTCTCAAGAACTGAAGTTTCTCAGTCCTTGCATGTGTGTTGTTGTAAAAGCCTTTCCTGAGGGTGTGAGCTGGCCGGGCCCCTACTTAGTAAGGACAACAACAGATGATCCCTTAAGTTACAGAACTTAAAACTCTACTAAACTGATACCTGAGTCAGGAAAGCTAATGGGAATCTACAGTTTTAAGATAGGCCTTCATTATTTTGTGTGTCTTGTGACTTTGTTCCTTCATTACTCCCTAAAAGTTTAGGTTAAAACCCAATACCATCTTATCTTCCTGAGTAGTTTTTACTTCCATCTTTAAATCTTAAATCCTCAAGTAGTTATTTAATGCATGACTGTATAAAGTAAACACAGAAAGGCAAAAACTGACTTCTCTTTTCTTAACCAAGTATTAACTGGATGCAAACAGGAGAGACAATACAGTGTTTCTGAATTCTCTTCCTACAGCACTGTTCATGTAAGAACACCTGACAGGATTAGTATCTTGGATTTATTGATTAGCTAAACACCTGAGTGAACTTGGTTCCTGAGATGGTTCCTGAGAGCAGTGCAATCCTGCAAGTATCCTTCAAGATCTGTCAGTGTGCTGTGCATTATTGCTTGCACAGAATCCTTGATCCTGGAGCTGCCTGGGCTTTCCCAGCCTTTGCTACAAAGCTCCTTCAATAATACTCTGCATATTTTACTGTGTGAAAGAACACATCTTTGACTTGTTTTCTTGAATGTAATTGAAGGGCTAGTGTTTTCAAAGAAACTCTGTGCACATGTTCTTTTTCTGTGCAGAAACCAACTGGAGCCTATTTGAGTTCTCTCAGCAGCCCACTACCTTGGGAAGAAGAGGAATATCTGAAACCAGAACTGGAAGATGATCTCCTGCTTCAGTTTGGTAAATAACTGCTTCAGTAAGACTCCTGCTTTGTGGGGTAAATGTGATATTGCTGGAGTTTGTGACATGTGAAGATTGTCACTGTTACTCAATTTATGTGTCTGATAAAGTCCGCATACTAATTATATCTAATTTAATTATATCTAAACCAAATATCTCTTCTAGAATTAATGAAACACTGGTATTTAAGGAAGCCCAAATTCTGGATTTATTTGCCTTAACTTAGACTCTGCTTCTACCATATTTGCTTCTTCTGCCTGGGCTTGTGTTTTGTAGTTAGCCCTGTCAAATTCAGTCGTGCCTTTTGTAAAACAGCCAGCTTGTACAAAGCATCCAGAGACAGAAATAACATGAAGTGTTTATGATCTGCTGCAAACAGATAAACAGATATGCTGCAAATCGTAAACATGATTGGTAAGTATTCTTTTTCCTCCCTGTTTCGTTAGACATAGAAGATCTTTGTGAGCCTGTAAAAGTTTTGCCTTCTAATGGTTTAAGCGATACCATGGTGCTCCTTGAACAATTAAAACATGCGGAACAGAGAGCCAGAGCTGCAGAAGCAGCCTTGGCTAGAGCACAAGATGATCTTCAGAAAATGAAGTAAGTGTTTGAACTGAAGTTTTGGGCTATTTTTATTTGATGTATTTTAGATGAGATGTTCATGTTCAAAGATAAAATGAAATTGAAGGAAGTAATAGAATGTAACTATGAAATAGACCTTGGGGTGGGACTGTAGGTCTGACTTGTCTGTTGTAGATGGTTAGTAAATGTCTTGTAGATGGTTAGTAAAAGCTGCACAAAACCTGCACAGATTGGAAGAACAAAGTATGCTTAGGAGAGCTAAGCAAGCGCATCACTCCAGAAACGGGTATTTTCCTTCAGACTCCTCTTTGTTTTTGAGACACCTTTCTGTTAGTTCTGTAGATAGGAATTTAAACACTGAGGATTCACACACTGGAGAAGAAAGAGACTGGCAAATTAAATACAGGGCTCCAGAGATGTTCAGAGTTGGCTTCAAACAGTAGTTGTTAGTAGAGTTCATTTACAGTTTGGAGAAACTTTCAGTGAAATTAATAAATCAGGTTTTTTCAGCTACTTTTCTTTTTGGTATCAGATGAGGGTAGTAAGAATATACAGTCAGGACATCTCTGTAGGATGAGGTCTGCATACAGATTGATGGTGCTCATGGATAACCCAGAGATAAGACAGATAACATGGATAAGACAGAAATATAAACTTCATTTAAATCCCCTACAAGCATGATATTTTGAGATCACACTGACTGGGCGCTGAGGAACTAAAATTATATTTAAGAGACTTGGAAAAATAATTAATGTTCTTTTGTGTGAGAAGTTAATCAGCAAAATCCCTTATGTTGTAAAATACATTTGAGTGTTTGTTGTACATTTTGACAGTACACACTTGGAGCTACAGGTAGCTAAGTACACCAAAATATATTAATGTATTCAAATCCTCTCAGCTGTGAACAGTTATTTATATCAAAGATTATCAGTTTTGTCTTCAGGTGAGTTTGAATTTTGTAAATTGTACTTTACAGCACACAGTGCTTTTCTGGTATCTCTGGGTCCATTATGCTTTAATTGATCATAAACAGCAAGAATGAAAGAAATTTGTCATTGTCATTGTGCTTCAAAAACGTGGGGTATTTTCTGTCTTTTTGCCTTCTTTATGTTCTATTAATTTTCATTTAGAACGAAAAAACCCTCACAGGTTATCAGTATCAATTCCTTTTGAACTCTTTAAACTTCAGTGAGGGTTACAGATTTTTTTTATTTTGAAGTTAGTATATCAAGTTATCTGCTCTTGTAAGAGGGAGCCTTTAATTTTTCTTTTTCAATGCAACCTCTTCAATTCAGCAAGGGTTGGCTGGCAGCAAAAATAGCCAGATGCAAATCTGATGAAGCAGCACAGTTTTAAATTATGGACACATGAGTCAGTTGCATTGCAGTAGTCTAAATGCTGTAGTTCAGTGGTTTGTGCTGGAGGTTATTCCACATAATATCATCTGCTCCCTTTCAGGTAGACCTCTGTGAAATAAGGACAATAACATTTCTATAAATCAGATCACTTGTAGTGTTAGATGTAACTTAGAGATTTAAAAGCGCAGCTTGTATATGCTGAGATTTTTAATGTGTTACCTCTTTAGAGGTGATGGCTTTTGTTTTTACTTATCTTTTTTCTTGATTAAGAAGCCAGCAGGACAGCTCTGTCCTTGGAATTTCTTTGGTGCTTCTGTTGCATGCATACATTAGAGGAACTATAGGCTTAAATAATTTTGAATTAAAAAATTTAAATCTCACACAGTGCTAATTATACTTAATTGTATGTCAAATAATCCATTTTATGAAAATTTAAAATTGTATCATGTAGATATTTGTATAAAAGTAAAGAAAATGCAAAGTACTGTGGTAAAGAGCAATATTAAAAATACAGTCCAGACTGTTTCTGTGTAAACAAATACAGGAAGTTGCTGAAACAGACAAAGTTTCAGTACAAAATCCCTTGCCATGTTCTCTTCCCCATACAAACTAACTGAGCAGGGAAGTATTTGAAATGCCAGGAGTGAAAATAGTATTTTTGTTTTGTTGCTCTATGAGGAGGGTATTGGTAATGAGATTGTTCCCTACAGTTTCTATATGTGACGCTCCCATTTAAGAAGGTATGATCGCTGTTAAAGGTGAGTGTCAGAGACTTTGGAATGGTCTAGGATGCAGCTTTTGTTGCTGTTGGATTGTAGGCCTTGGAGGAATATTGTCTGGCTGAAGTGTGTTTGCTTTTTCACTTCTTTGTGGGCGTAGTATGATCTGCTTGTTAATGTCTAATAGTGTTTTTGTTAAAAACCCCTTGATTTATGTATTTTGTCATCAAACCTGCTTTGAGAAATGAGAACGTGGAATCACGAGTGGAAGGGGACCTCAAAGCTCATCCAGTTCCAAACACCCTGCCGTGGGCAGGAATACCTCCTGGGCTGCAGAGCCCCATCGAGCCTGGCCTTGGACATCCAGGGATGGGGCATCCACAGCTTCTCTGGGCAATCTGTGCCCAGGGACTCACTGTCCTCACCATAAAAAACTTCATCCTAATATTCAGTCTAAACCTACTGTCTTTGAATTTAAAAGCCATTTGTCCTTGTCCAAAGTCCCTGTCCATATTTCTTGTAGCCCTTTTAGGAACTAAGGAGAACAGTGGGTTCACTCTGGAGGCTTCTTTTCTCCAGGCAGAGCAATGCCAATTCTCTCTGCCTTTCTTTATGTGTTGAAGGAATGCAAGACCAGGGAGGAGGGAGAACAAGCAGCATAAAATTTAAGTAATTAATTGCATTTTAAACTCTTTTTTCTTTTTAACCAAATGCCTCAGTTTTAAAATGCTTCCTTCTCTGTTTCAGTAGTCACCCAGTGTGGTGTGGGCTGCAGTTTTTGCGCTCTTTGTGTTGAGTCTGTGTCTGCGTTACGCAGCCTGAAACACCTTGACGCTGCATTGCTGGCTTTTACACCAGCAAGTGCAAAATAGATAATTCTGCCTTAAAAATAGAAACTATCCCCCAGTATTTCACTGCTGATAGTTGGTTGCTGTAAGCAGAAAGCTGGGCTTGCCAGAGGGTGCTGGAGGGAGTCCAGCGCTGCAGCAGCCCCGAGGAGCCTGCAGAGGGAGGATGTGCACACCTAAAGCTGCTCCCATTGTTGCCCAGCCCCTGGGCAGCCTGGATTCCTTCCTTCTCCCAAGCCCTTTCTCCCCCCTGCCCAGCCTCCTTTTCATGGTCCCATAAACACGTCTCAAGGGTATATTTCAAATTGATTACAGACAATTTGCTCAGGATTTTGTGATGAGCACAGATGTCAAGAGCAGCTCGTCATCCAGCGCCATTGCAGACCTTCAGGAGGATGAGGATGGCGTTTACTTCAGCTCCTATGGGCATTATGGGATACACGAGGAGATGCTAAAGGTCAGAGAATCATCACCACTGCATCTTAGGACTGAAGAGGAGAGATGGAATGAAGTGGGCTGTGTGCCCATAAATATACTGCAGAGCAGCTGCATTTTTAACCCTTTCTGTCCAGGAGAGGTTTTCTGGTGGTACTTCGGCTAAGAGATCATTTTTCAGTTTTATTTCCTTTGTGTAAGTTCTGTTTATGGGAAGCATTAGGAACAGAAAATCATTTACAGTTATGCTTGATAGTACAATACCTGTGCCACAGCCCTACCTTGCCAAAAGCAGCTTTTCCCTGCTTGTTCAAAACATGAAGGATAAAACATAGTACAGACAGTAAACATTTTTCTTTAGTTTTACATTTTCCTTATAATTGAAATTTGTTAGGCAAGACCATTTCTCAAATATTGTGGTTTTCTCTTGCACTGGGTAAACAGAAAATGTTACTTGTGCACGGTTCAGTCTGTTGATAAAATGACATTGAACTGTCACAGTCTGTCACATGCTGGAGCAGTTCCTTTCATCTGCTAAAGATTAAAAAAAAAAATTATGCTTAAAACTTCTCAAAGGCAAACTTATGTATGCCCTTTTAACTTTAAAATAAGATAAAACAAGCACAAAGCCCAACAGCTTAAAATTAGCTTGTAAATTGAAATGTCTTAATGCTTCCTTTCAGAGAAAATGTCATAGTTGTGAGAGTTATAAGCAGTTTTATCATTTTAAGGCATAAATAAACAAAAATTCCTGTCCGAAGTCGGGGCAGAATACAGAGTTGTGAAGTGACTTTGTGCCTGCAGCTGGCATATAAAGCTTTCAGCTTTGTAAATAATTTAGTGGCCCCAATGCAGAAATACACATGAATATGTGTTAAGAATAGTGTGACTGTGAGGTTTTTATTAAGGAGAGGAGATTTTACAGAAGCACAGAGATAGCTGCAGAAGCAGAAGAATGCTTTCTGAAATGTTTCATCTGTAGAAATACAACTGAAACGTAACTTGAAGATAAATAAAAATGATAGGTGTTTGGTTTTGCAGCTGTATAAAGCTGTGATTCCAGATAACGTAGGCTATAGGATGAGGAAGCCTTTCTGTTGGCAAGGAAAGTTTACAATAAATCTGCATATCTGCACAAGGAGATTGGTACAAAATTGTATTTTAGTGATGTAAGGGTATGTTTGTCAGAATGCTTTTAGTAAGACTTTTGACTTTCCAAAACATGGAAAAAGGATTGCTTTTATTTCGTGCACACTGAAATTTTTTCTTTCTGCTAGGCATTCACTTTATTTTTTTTCCTGTTTACCTTATTTACATAAATATAGTGGCTTACTACATGAAGATTTTTAAGAAAGGAGTCTTGCTGCCTGAATTGTAAACCCATTTCTGAAACTGTTCAGTCTTGAAACCTATTTTGTCCTTAAGCCTGGTAGTGGTAAGACAGAGTTTCAATTTGGGATTTTTTTCTGAAAATACTTCAGAGAGGGAGCAAGAATATTGTTACTTCACGCTTGCTGAGTCACTGTGTTTCCCTTGCTCTGCCTTTTTGCTTGAGAATATCTTGGCTGTCATCTTAATGATTTTTTTTACCATTTTACTTAAACCAGGAAAGCATAACATGGAAAAGTTGAGGGGGAGAAGGGGATTGGTGAATAGGGACCCGAAGTGCTTGGCTGTGACTACAGCTGCTTTGAGTTGGAGCAGTGCTGAAGCCATGTGAGGGGCAGGATGCAAGGCTGAAAGCTTTCCAGCTGGCTGCTTTCTCAATTGATTATTTATTTTTAAACTTTTTTGGTCCCCCAGCAAATCCTATTATATACTGCAGTAGAGGTGAAGTACTAAAAATAGTTGCACTGAACATCATAGCAAACCAATACGGTTTTAAAGGGTTATGGTTCTATTATTAATGTTAATTATGCAGGATTTTAAAGCAGAATTTTCTAAAATAAACCCCAGCTGCTTCTTTGGGTTGTGTGTGTGATAGTATTTTTACACAGAGAGCTGGATTTTCAGATTTTTCAAGCCTCAAAACAATCTTTTGTCTCCTAAATTTTTATTATCATAAAGATGTTCACATCACTGTTTTTGATCTTGTTCTTTTATTAAAATAGTCTTTGTTCTTTCTCGCTGTAGAAAATTTGTTTCTCTGTTTCTAGAAATTCTTAACTTGCTGTAGTAGAAAAATCCCCTAGATTTGATAAAAGTACTGGGATTTTATACTTCAGCATTTTTTGCACTAGACAAAAAATTGCTGATTTTTTTTTAATTTGCCTGTAACACTTGAACTGCGACAGCAACTCCAAAACCTACACTTGGCTGTCAATTTGTGTACCTGCTGATGCGTGTTAAGAGAATCAATGTTTTAATAGATTACCTTGCTGATAAACTGAGCTATGCTGTGGGTTTTTTTATACTAAGATACTATATATGTTTTGTTCTAGGTTTGAAAATATTCCAGCTTCTCTGGCCCTGTTGTATTTCAGTCAAACTTATTTACTGCATTGGACGTTCATCAAATGGGCTGTACAGCTTTAACTAGTAGCTTGTCATCAGGATTGCAAATCTGCAGCTTGTTCAGAAATAAAACCAAGTTAGTTTGATGTGTAACTTTGTTTTTACAGAAATCCCCCTGTCACAGGTGTGTCAGAGAACAAAATGATACAAAACAGTTTTTGAGCTTGTGATTCAAATTTTCAGATTTTCTATTTAAGTTAGTGTCATATTGTCACTGTTACTGCTGTTCCTTGTTAGTGATGAACAGGTATTAAGATCTTTGAAACATTCAAAAGAAAAGGCAGAATCAGGAAACCATACAATAGTTCCTTATTTTTCCTCCGGCTGAGGCAACTGGCTTCATTTGCTGCAGTAAATTCTGCAATATTATCACACAGAAGTATCATGATTGCAGTGCCCCATGTAAGTACAGTAAGTGCAAAGCATCTGTAGGTCAAGTTGAAAAACAAATTGTTCAGCATTTTTGAATTTTATGCTGTACCTAAAGAGAAAAAGTGAACCCTCTTTGTTCTTTGACTGCTAGGATAAAGTCCGTACAGAGAGCTATCGTGACTTCATCTATCAAAACCCACATATCTTCAAGGACAAGGTGGGTACAACTGCTCAGACGATCCAGTGATTTCTGTGGTTTATTTTGTCTCAAATGGTAGCAAACCTGCAGATGAGCTCCTCTCTAGTTGTGGGAATGGAGGGTCGCAGTGCCAGGATTTGATCTAATGCGCTCTGGCTTTATTAGGTGGTGAGAGCTGCTGAGCTGCTGGAGGGTGCAGTGTGCTGATAAGAGCAGTGGTGATCTCTATTGTCATTGTGCTGTGTGCCGTGGCGGGGAGCTCATTAATTATCTTGGCGGGATGAAGTTGAGCCTCTCTTGTCGAGGATATTAGGTGGAATCTCTCTGAGGGCTCTTTACCAGGATTAAGTGAATTTCTATGTACGCCCGATAGAGTGAAAACGTCCTGGAAGCCCTTTGTAATTAGAGCTGGGAAAGAATTCATGTGGAACTGATTTTTTTGAATTAGTGCTGTTTTGTGTCTCCAGACTGGGTGGTTATTATTAAAGGGCTTGCAACTGTGAGCTAGTACTTCATTTGCAGTGAGGAGGGATTTCACTGATAGGATCTTACAGTGGTTATGACCCCTGTACAGTAATAATCCTCTTATCTTTTGTATTTCTGGTGGCTATTTCTAATGAGTTTGTTGTGTTTTGGGCTTATAAAACCATAGGATGGCTTGGGTTGGAAGGGGCCTGCAGGATCATGCAGTTCCAATCCTTCTGCCCTGGGCAGGGACACCTTCCACTAGACCAGGTTGCTCAGAGCCCCATCCAACCTGGCCTTGAATGGTTTTTTTCAGGGATGGGGCATTCACACCTTCTCTGGGCAGCCTGTGCTGGGGCCTCACCACCTTCACAGGGAAGAATATTTTCTAGTATCCTATCTAAACTTACTCTCTTTCACTTAAATCCATTCCCCCTTGTTCTGTCACTCCACGCCCTTGTAGAGAGTCTCTCTTCATCTTTCTTTTAGGCTCTTTTCAGGTACTGGAAAGCAACAATTTGCCTTGTCTTTTCCAGGCTGAACAATCCCAGTCCTCTGAGCCTTTCCTTGTAGGATAGATGAGAGAGATGCAGTTCTGTCTGACAGAAAGTATTTCAGTGTTTGATAGTGCCTATTCCTTGTATGTCTTATACCTCAGTTTTCAATTGGCAACTATAGCAAAAAAAAAATAATAAATAGTTTTGTTCCCTTTTTTGCCTTAATTCATGTCACAAGCCTGTTTCTGTAAACATTTCTAAACTCTTCGATTACAGTGAGAGAACAAGCAAAAGTGTTGTAGAATTATGCCACCAGGTGACTGCGTAGGTGGGCAGCTCATCTAACAAAGCAGAAATATCAATAAAGGAAAGAAAACTTTCCTGAGAGAAATTGAGTTTCTCAGATGCCCCTAAAATTGATAACTGCAGGTTTTCACAGGTTAAGAGTGGTCTGAAGTCACGCAAAATGTGAGGCCTTGTGGCACAGTAATTTTTCATGATGGATAGGGTGTCTCCTGTGCTCTATGGACATGCTGGGAACATTTAAAACAAAACATGGAGTAACTGTTAAGAGTCAATGTTGCTTCAGCCCCAGGAGTAGATACCCATGCTCAGGAACCAGCTTAGGCAGTGTGTGTGCTTACCCTGTTGTAAAAGCATTCCACTTCTCTGAAGAAAAGCTCAAGTATTACAACATCTACAAATCGATTTCTGAACTGGTTTTTGCAGCAGTTTTTTGATCAAGGTTACCTCAAATTCATGATGTATCCAGACCCATCATGGTGTGTTGAGGTTGAGCTGGAAGACAGAATCTAGGTTGCTTTGAGTTCCCAGTATCCCCAACCCATGTGACCAGTGTCCTGCTTAACTTGTGTGTCTGGCCAAATGATGTGGCTTTCTCTTGGTATATTGTTATGGAGAATAAATGGGAGTTTTCTGCAGAAATCTGGCTTTGAAGTGACATCTGTTACGGACTTCTGCTGAAGGAGCTGTGTAGGATACTTTGCTTAACTTAGTGTATTGTATAATGCTCTCAGGACCATACTAATGAGTGAAAATTCCAAAGTTTGTTTTCCCTTAAATTTAATAACAATTTAAAAAAGATTGAGAAAAAGTCTGATAGTGCATTTCCTAGAACTCCCTTATAGTATTCCTCCCTGGAAAATACATACTGAAGCTTTTTGGTTTTTTCTGAATGGACTATTGTGAGGTAGTTTGTGAGGAGCTTGTTCAAAGAGCTGTATTTTTATACTCACTAACCTTTAGGACACTAAAGAGGTGTGATTGCATGGTGATAGATGATAACAGTATCTAGGTTTGTTTATTTTGCATATTTTATTCATCCATTTTGATCTGTCTCAGCTTTCAAAATAAATTATTAAAACTTGAACAAATCCTACTTGCTGCCTTTATTTGCAACCTGTCAAATGTATTTGAGATGAGAATGGGACAATTCAGATTACCTGGCAGGAGTTATGAAGGTGGCTGTACTCAGTAAAAGGAAGTGTGGTCCATTTTACAATGACAGTATTTTTGGGTGGAAAAATAATTTAGTAAAGCGCTGTTGCCATGCTTAGTTTTTGTTGTTAGACTGAAATCTGAGGCAAGCATCAGTGCCATAATTCAGGGAATAAAATCAGCTTTTAAACTATTGTCCTACTAAGAGTTTATTGATTAAATGAATTTAATTGGTGAAAGTCTCTGGCCTCCTGTTTTTCTGAGTTTAAAAAAGGAGGATATCACTGAAAGTAGGATATCAGTTTTGCTTAGGCTGCAGAGGAGGATGTGAAGCTGCAGGGTGTTGTGGTGTAGTGAAATCACTGGTCCAGCTGCTCCAGGTCTTTGGTGAGAGGCCATATGTGATCGCTGCAAGAATGTGTGGGCTGTAGATCCTTGTCCTTAGGCTAATTGATGATCACTCTGCTTGTCTTGCCCTTCCTCACACATATTCCAGCTTGTATATTTTCCCTCCAGTGCCTCTTTTCCATCCCATCCCCTGCCTAAGGCTAGATGAGTTCCATCTGGGTTTTTAAGTGACCAGGGCAGCTGTCCAAAGTGGTGTCTGTTTTGATTTTTTTCCAATTTGTGGTGATTGCTCTCTTCCATGCAACTGTACATCAAGATGATTCTTTCACAGTGGTTTATTTCTGGCTGTGACTTCCAGCTGTCATGGCTTAGTGATTTTGTTAACTACCATAGGTGAAATGTTAGGTGATGTTGGAGGGTGTGAGATTTCAGCAGCTGCAAGAATATTGATTTTTATTTTCTATTCCTGTCTCCAGCAGATTCAGTTTAGGGATTTCTGTGGCCATAACCTGCTCTCACTTAATTTCTGGGATGTAGAGTTGACTCCTTTCGAAACATACCTGCAAAAGATTTGCAGGTAGGATAAGTAACTCTATCCACAACTCCCCTCTACACAAGCTGCTGTGAAAGATCATAGTGCTGATGGTTTTTAGTCTGTTTCCAGGCTTTTTCCACCTGGCTCTGCAGAGACAGGTGGCAGTCAATGCTTCAGTCACTGCTTCCCAGACCACCACAGCAGCAACTCCCTTACACTGCTTGAGAGAACAAGCAAAGGATAAACAGCTGGTTTTGTCCATGCTGGCTTCAGGATCATTGTTCTGTGTCCATCCTCAGAATGTATAGAACTGTACACAAGGAAGGCAGGCAGACCTAAGATACAGAGCATTCCAGTATTTGTTTTGTTGCTCTTTGTCAGGTGAAATGCAAAGTTTTCTTGTGCCAAAGCAAGAGTGATCAGTAGCTGATAAGCTGGAAAGTGTATCAGCAGCAGGATGCATTATTGCCATATTTTTTGTATTTTTTGAAATATTTTGTGGAATGGGATTACAGTTCTCAAATATGGGATTGATTAGTAAGGGATTTGATGCCTTTGCAAAAATGTTTAATGTAATGAAAGCTGTGAGTGCAGGTTTTACAGCACTCTGTGCTGTGAGGAGAAGAGACAGTGAAATCAGCTTTCCTTTCTAATAAATTCTTGCTATGACTGGTAATTCTCAGTGTTCTTGTTAACTTATGTGTATTGTATGTTGTACTTTCATTTTTAGGTCTTATGTATGGGAAAGTAAGTTCTTTGCAGTTCTGATTCTGTTCATGCTTAAATGCTGTACATGATATGAGTGGCTCTACTCATATCATAGTGTTTAGAAAACTAACTTTGATTTCCAGGCTTCAGAACATTTTTGGATTTAGTGCTGTGAGTTTTTAAACACCATTAGTAAAGCTTAGCTATATCAGATATGAGTCTAATGATAAGGCCATTGATGATCTGGCCAATTCAATAAAATATACCTTCAGAATCTCCAGAGATGCCTTTCAGCCGCAGTATTTCTGTGAAAACATCAAGCCTGGAACTCAGCTTAAAAATCTGCTGTGGCACATTCATTAGGTTTTTAGCTCTTGAGAATTTCCAGCAGTTTCAAGAAACATTGTTACAATACCAAGGACTGGAAAGTGCTACTTGGTAAAATATCTATGAAGCTTAGAACTGCTGGCAGCTCAACTCCACTTAGTCATAAATTTGGTACTCTTTTCTTAGTTGCTTCACATTTTTTAACTTTCAGTCTTCCTGTAGTAGCTGATACGTTATATACAAAAAAACCAGGCATTTCCATGGATCTTATGGCATACTTTTTCCAGGTGTAGTGGTGAAATTCACCGTTTCATGAAAACTCTAGGAATTTCATTTTAACTGGATGTGGCAGCCACATTCTTCTCTCTCTCTCTCAGGATTTTTTTCATAGAGGAGCATAGAGAGAAGAAAGAGAAAACTATTTCTATTTCTGCTCCCTGTTTTTCCCATGTGGAATGTGTTTAGAAAATTGTTTACCTGGGGGGTGATTGCTTGATTGGATTCAGGTGAGGATCGTTTGAGCCTGATGGCAAATCCAACCCACCTGGGGCTGGACTCACCAGAGAGGGTCACGAGTTGTGAGTAGTTAGATATGATAGAAAAGTAGGTTTTTAGTTTTAGTATCTCCTTTAAATAGTATATTAATGTATTTTAGCATAGTTATAATAAAGAAATAATTCAGCCTTCTGGACTGGAGTCAGAGGTCATCATTTCTTCCCACTGGGTTCACCTGCATTTACAATAACTGGATTTTTTTTTTTTTCACTCTATTTTGACTATAAATAGTGCTAAGCAGAAAATATTTCCAGGTGTTAAAACTGCTGGTGACCATTTTAAAATTTAGTTATCTTGAACCATAGCTGTTTTGAGGCAGTGTGACCATGTCTGGCAGAGGATTCCTAAATAATTTTCTGAATAGACTTAATTAAAAACTGCAGCTAGAATATGTTTTCTCAGTTCAGTTATTAGTGATTCAGTGATTAAAATTGCTCAGTCTATAATTTCCTTTTTTTCCTCTTCATGTAACATTTTAGGTGTTTCCCACATAATTGCTTGTTTGTTTCCCATGTGACTGGGTTAACCTGCAGCTGGAATTAGTGGGCTTCACTGTCTGCCTGGAAAAGGTGGTAGAGTGGGAATTATAACTGCAGTTTCACTTGGATATCTCAGCATGTGACAGTGAGACTTTGTGCCTTCTGTTGGAATATGGTATCTCACTGATGTAGAAAGAACTGTAGAAAAAGCATAGCAAGGAAAATAAGATTGCTTTGCTTTCATTTATTCCTTCCAGGTGGTTTTGGATGTTGGCTGTGGAACTGGAATACTCTCCATGTTTGCTGCCAAAGCGGGTGCCAAGAAAGTGATTGGAGTTGACCAATCTGAAATCATCTATCAGGCCATGGACATCATTAGGTAGGAGAAGTTGTGGTTGTCAGTTTTCTGTTTCTTTACAGGAATTTAAAATAATTTCTATAATTGGTCTGTGTTACAGAAAATAAAAGGCCTACCCTGTGAACTGCTCTCCCCTAATTCAGCAGTGCTGAGGGTGCATCTTGTCCAGTGAGGTCTCTAAAGGTGTTCATTAATATCAGAACTAGCTCTGAGCCCTGAGGGATACCTGGCTACCAGTTAGGCTTTGTACTCCTCCTCTCAACTCTTGAATCTCATGGTCTAGACCCATCTCCTCGTTCATTTATCCACTCCACATGTCACTAATTTGCCTATGGACAATATTTAGGAGGCTGAGCATATGTAAAAATCAAGCAATGACATCTGAAGACTTAAAAAGGATTTCCTAGAATGAGGTAGGAGGAGTGTGTCCATGTGCACTGTTGATAGCTGAAGCCTGTATGTTTTTTCATTTAGGCTGATGTTGTAAGAGCAACTGTGAAAATAAAATCCAGGTAGACACTGAAGAATTTGGGAGTGACAGGTTTTTTGTGCAAGCTCAAGTGGCACAGAAGTAATGTTGTCTGTGCAGAATTTGTTAGGTACCACTCACACATTGGTGGTGCAGCACTGCACACTTGGGTGCTGTAAAATTACTCAAATATCTGCTTGGGAAAAGCACCATGTTAAGCCTAAAGTGCATGTTTGACTAAAATACTTTTCTGGCACAAGAACTTATTCCTTAAAGAGAACTTTCCCCCTGAGTTCCTGACATCTTCAGAATGGTTTCAAGTGTGAAATAGTGTTTTATATCTGATGTACAAGATTACATATTTAGGGCTGTTATAACTTTCAACAAGTGTACAAAGTCCTTTGAGTGTTATTTATACTTAGGGAAGAGTAAAAGTAACAATCAGTTTGTATTATTCTTTGAGGAGAAGAAGGGCAGGCCTCTAAGAAAAGCAATGAATCAAAACTCTTAAACTCTTAAGAGTGATGAATTACCACTTGAAGTATGCAGCAAGTCATCAGTAAGGCTGCACATTTATACGTACTTTCTGATATAAAAGCTGCAATTCACATTAAAGTCTGCAGTTCACATCAAAACAATTTATATTTGTCTGTTTAAAGCTACTTTTCCTAAAGGAATAAAGCTGACAAAGTTGCAGTGGAGTAACAAACATTTATTGGAGCACCAAACAACTCTGTAGCTTAAAAAATGACTGTTGGGGCACACTTCCACCTGTGATTTAAGTGTGTGCTCAATGCTTTTGTCCTTCCCAGAATTCAGGATAATTTCTAGCATGCTAATTACTGGAAACAGTGCAACCCATGTGTGTAAGTGAACCAGAATACATAGCCTGAGTAGCCTTAAAAATAAACTTACTTTAAATTATTGCCTTTTCTTTTTCTTGCTGTGAATAGTCCCTGTAAAATTTCTAGCACAGTGAATTACTTGATTTTTGTCATTCATCACTGTTAAGCTAGACTAGAAAGTTGGAGTCGACTTTCTAAATAACATCTCAGTTTTTCCTACAATCTGTAAACTGCATTGGTTGGTTTGTGTTTTTTTAAACATGATGATTGAAAACAAGTATGTAGTGAATTAATCCTTTTCCTCTCTGTTGTTTTAAATCATGTCATTGGATGTGGTCATTTAGAAAGTTATCTTCAGATCGTGTTTAGTCCTGGCTTAAATTATTGTTGTAGGTGGTAGCTCTTTAACATTCCTCACTTTGAACGTCTGATTTTACTTCTGTTTAGAGCATTAAATACAATAATAGTAATGAACTGCTATTCTCCAACAGAAAACTGTATTGTGTAGAGGATTTAATTTGTCTTTGCAACAGCCCAAGTGTTCAAGGAGCCCTTTGACCTTATCCTTTCCCTCCCTTCATACTGATCGTTCTTCCATTGTCTCTTAGATTGAATTTTTAATGTCATTACTGGTCTGCATTGAAAGCCAGACAGAATGTAAGAGTAAGATATCAGGAGAGGGAGGGAAGGGGCAGAGATAAGAACTGCTGTGGGAAGATAAATTTCTGTGGTGAGAATACTTTGCTGCCCTCTGTAAAAGCAGCCGTGGTAATAATGATAAGTGCAAGAAAGACTAATGTGGTTTGCCAAGAAGAAAAGAAGTGCATTTTAGGTATTTAAATACTTACTAATTTCACTGTCATGCAGTTCTTGTTCCAAAACATGTAGTCCTGTCCCTGTCCCTCCCTTGTTACGCAGGATGGTTGTATCATGACGTGCATGTGAGCTAATCCCTGATCACTGCAGGTACTAAACATTGCAGGTGCTTTTGCCCAAATCACAGTGGGGAGGGTGCCTTTACTCTGCAATAACTGTAGGACTGATTTAGAGGGAAGCTCTGTTCTCTGTGACTTTGCAGCTGGTTTGGTTAAATAAAAAACCAAGTCATGCAAAACAGCTTTGTAAGGAAGTTAATTTCCATTGCTGTCCTGGTGTGGTGAGTAGGCTCTGATTGCTGTGGAGGTCAGAGGAGAAATGGAAACAAGCAACTTGCCAGCAGTTTTAAATTGTCTTATGTTTTCCTGGTTTCTGAAGCTTGCCTATTTGCATGCATGGCACGTTGGAGGTATACAGATGTACTGCCTGCCATCTTCTCCTGGCACTAAATCAGCTGCAATTTTTAGCTACTTGGAAATGTTCCCTCTGAAATAAAACTGAGGGATAGTACATTCTAGTGCTTCTTGATTAGTTAAACCAGAAAGTTTGTGAGGGGAAGAATGTGAAATATAGATGTCAGTATATCTCTCTTGACAGCATAAATTGAAAATAGAAACTAATTTGTTTATGTTTTGACTTGCAGACTAAATAAACTTGAAAAGATTATTACATTAGTCAAAGGAAGAATTGAGGAAGTTGATCTGCCTTTGGAAAAAGTGGACATAATTATATCTGAGTGGATGGTAAGGTGCATGGCTGTTCTTTTCAAGTACTTTTCAGGAAAAAGATGTGGTTTATTTCATTTGAAAAGTTGGGGTTTTTTTAACCAAACCATCTACAATGGTTCCAGCAGTGCCTTTGACAATGTCAGAGATGGAATGGCAGTCCTGATTATGTGGTACTTGGACGCAATTCCATGGTCCCTCTTGTTCAAGCTCTTTCAAGTCAGGCTTCTCTAAGTGCAGCAAGTTTCTGAATTTGGTTTGGAAATCTATAAAGCACTCAGTTGTACTGTTGTGGCAGCTCAGGTGAAAGCAATGGAGAAATATTGTATTAGTCATCTAGCCAGCTCATTCTGATGGGTAAAATACCTTCAGTCTGCAAATTCAGCTAAGGACTCTCCTGACTGTGCAGGAAGGGTGATAAGGAGGGGAGGTGCTGCCTCTGGAAATCTGCAGATACTGGGAGAGCTTGAAAACAACATTGCTTTTCATTGCTGGGTTTCAGCATGACAGTAAAAACACTGACTCAAAAGTACAAAAGAAGTGTGATGGACAGCAGTGTTTAAATGAGCCATCTCCTGGAATTTGCTGGATTTCAGCTGTTGGCCTGTTACCTTTTTTGTGTGGTGGCTGGTAACTGTTAAACACCCGTCCTTGCTGCCTGCCATTAATCCTAATAAAGAAATCTGTGTTGCAAAACCCACTGCCAGCCTGAGTGTCACAGTGACATAGGAATGCCTGTTCCCTATCAAAAATGTGCTAGGAAACATCTCTTTGAACTGTTTTTTTGTGAACTTCTGCTATTCAGTATCCTCCTATCATGGGCCTTCAAAAAAGCACTTCAAAGCACAGGTTTTCTTCATGTTGCTTCCAGCTGCTGGGACTTAAAAATTCCCTTCTGCCTGAAATGTAAGATCAGGAATGAAAGCTTATATTCAATGTTACTTGTTGGTTTTGGTTTCTTTTTTTTGTGTGTGGGATTTGTTTATTTTTTAACAAACCGTGGCTGTTCTGTTATATGCAATGGCCTTTGGTGGGGAGGTCACGCATTCACTGTGGATCCATATATATCTACCCATTTTTCAGGGAAAGATGAAAATAAATTGGTTTGCCTTTTTTATGTATTTTTTATATATATATATATTTGTTTAATATTACATATGTCAGTGAACTAGAAATCTGCAGTTTTTCCTCCACTGCTGCGATGTACATTATTTGAAGCATGAGCTTAATTTAGTGTTGAGGTCAATAGATTCAAGGATAGTTTAAGCCATTGGCTTAAATCAGTGATTTAAAAATAGCATGTTATGGTTGGTGATTTCTGACAGTATGGTGGCTTCACTAGAAATGTAATTATAGTTTTTTCAGAGAAACTTCTGATCAGCTGCCTAGTATGTGCACCAAGATTAATGTTCCCAAAATCACATTTCTCCTTCTGGAGCCCAAGATTTGGTTTTAAAGGGAACCTGGACAGGTGAGCTGAAGTCATGTTGTAAATCAGTGCCTCTAAGATAAATTAAGCGATTTCAAGACTCAGCATTTGTAAGAAATTAAATACTGAATGTTGGATATTTTTCCTTTGTGTGCTAATTTACCTTTTTTTATGTCGAAATTACATAGCCATGTGCACTTCAGTTAATTAGGTATTCTAAATATTTAGGAATGTTAGGATTTTTATAGGTTGTTGCATGACAGAGATAAAGAGGACAATGCTGTGGAAGTAAGATTGATAGCTGGACAGTGCACACAATGTTCCAACACTGTCCAGAAAGGAACATTGTTGTTTAATGCAGATGAAAATTCTTCTTTGTCTGGCTTTCTTGTGTGAATTTGCTTTTTCATTTCCTTCCTTACATGATACAATGTGAAATCAGTTCTTAATATGTGATCATGAGAGTGAAGAAGAATTCAGTATATGTCAGATTTCTTTGTGCAGAGAATCTGTATGGACTGGTAGGAAAATTATCATGTTTTTCTTTGTAACAAAAATATGAAAAGTTGCAGTTTCAGTTTAGAAAACAAACTGATTTTAGATTTCTTTAGTGAATGTCAAACCTTTGGTGGAGCTATAGCTTTGTTTTGTTTGGTACAGAATGCTGCTTAAGATCAGTACACTTTTTTTTTTTTGGTAGAGCTGTGTCTGGAACATCAGAAAATTAAAAACAAGTATGAGGCAAGAGAGAAGAAAAATACTGTGTTCTCCCAGGACTATTTGTAGATTAGGCTTTCTGAGAAAGCTGTCACATAAAGAAATGTCTTGTGAAAGGTTCAGCACTGCATTATGAGCATCTCAGTGTGATGGTTTCTGATGATCATATACGTAATTGCAGAAGCAACCTATGACTGCCACAGACTGCTTGCTCTTCTTCCCTCTCTTTCATTTATAAATTTGTTCCCTTAAATTATGGAAAAACCAGAGAAGCATCTTAAATATTACACAGTGGGCAGGGTGTGAGTGCATGTCTGTCTATGTAGAAATTTGTATTGCAAATGCATACTTACCATCTTCCAAAATAATACTTTCCCAATTTAAATTCCTCTGGATATGTTTTTTCCATGTTGCAGGTTTAGAGGCTGAATGAAGAGCAGCTCTATCTGCAGTGGTTTTATTTAAGCCTGTGAAAGAAATTAGCAGTGAACTTGTTTGTAAGGTTCTGAATTCAGCTTGTGGCATCTGAAGTTTGTGTGTTTGACAATGTCAGCATCAGACCAGGGCATTTCTGTGATTGTGGTCAGTTCAACCCAGTGTGTAAAATGCAGAGGAAGGCAATGGGAGGTGTGAGATGTTCTCTTGTTGTCCAAAAGGCAGGTTGCTGAAGATTGAGGGCCCTTTGGACTTCCAGTGGCCCAGATAAAGCTGTTCAGACTTTTACGCCAGAGACAGCTGGACACTGGTTCTAGCAAAACTTCAGTGAAGTCTGCAACCTGACACAAGGGACTTTATGTGTGCTGTGGGCCAGGAGCACAAGGGAGAGCAGATGGGCTGAAGGGCCACTTCACCATGTGAGCCACATTGCCTTGAGAAAGAGTACAAGAATGGCCAGGTAATAGTCTGTGCTAATAACCAAACAGATTTTCTAAGGACAAAGTCTGTCAGTCCTTGGAGAAAGGTTTTTTTGGATGTAAGAATGGGTGGATTTTATATAAAATACCACTGCTGACCTTTTTTTTGTGGAGGTTTTCATGTCCAGGACTGTTTGATGGTTTGTATGGCTTATGATACATCATCCTGCCTGCCTGCCTAGAGCTCTGATATGTGAAACCTTTTAAAAACGTTAATTTGTGTAACTAAAGATTAGTATACTAGTACCAGGCTCTCATATTTTGTTACTTGTCTGCTTGTATCATAAGTCACCTACAGATAAATCCCTCACTTCTTATTCAGCGTGTAGACTTACATTTGTTCCTGGGCAGGAAAATGTGACCATACAAAAGTGACTTAATTATTGCTCCCATATTTAGGTAGGGTAATTGTAAACCTGCTTATTGAAAAGATGAGTGCAGAAAGAAACTAAATGTATGCAATGCTTTTCTAGAATGTTCTTGCACAGCTGCATCTTTGTGCAGATTTTTCTTGCCATCAGTATTTTTTTGCTTCCTTTCTCTAGCTAAAACTATAAAGCTAAAGGTTGCTAGTTTTATTCACTTGAGAATAGCTGCATTTCTTGTTTGTAAAGGGGCTCTACTGAAAGACAATTACCTGAGGTGGTTGTCTCAAATACAGTGTTAATGTACAGCATGTACTCATAAATTGTTTTTTTTATGCAGTACTTTATGGTACTGAATATGCAGCAGAGTTATACAAGATAAAACTGGGGAAGGGATGGATTGTCAGATTAAAATACACTTAGGATACAACCCAGTACTTGTCTTTTAATCATGTCTTTGGTCAGGTAGCTAATACTTTCTTTTTTTCATTTCCTTCTCTTTGTATTTCTTTCTAATTTTTTAAAAATAATGTTGAAATTACACAAGGATGGGCTTTGAATGGAGGCATTCAAGATCTAGGGAAAAGAAAAGGAAGTGAGCATGTCTGAAACACTGGAAACCATCTTTTCTCTCCTCATCCTTTCCCTATTTCTGTGAGAGATACACAGTTATTTCCTTGCATGATTTTTTTTTTTTTTGTTTTGGTCAACACTAGTAATAGGTATCACATTTCTGCTCTTCACATCTTCCCGTTTGGTGTTCTTATTTTTATTGGTGTAAGGAAACAACATAATGACAAAGTCAAGCTGTGATGCTGAAATTTGTGAGCTTGCTGTGTCAGTAATGAATTACTTCCTCTTTTTTTAAAATTGAAATGTAGATGAGAGATCAGCATGAAGGCAAACTTAGCATGTGGGAGATGGTGCTGCAGCAGACCATGCTGAAGTGTTTATGTGGACTGCTGCTTGTCATTTAAGTGTGCTGCAGGTTTGGAGGGAATTTTGTCAAATAAAATATATTTTTTCATGTCATAGAGTGGGCCACATCAGTTTTGTGTATTTGTTAATACCAGGTTAAATTTTGTGTTAGAGATCAGAATCTATTATCCAATCTGTGTTGCATACCTTCTGTAACTTGCTTTGCTGTGAAGGCCAGTGGAAATCTTACAGTTGAAATTTTCAGTTTAAGACAATAATGCAGTTTTTTTATACCACTGGGGGTTAAAAAAGATAAAGTTGACTCTCTGGGTCAGTGATTTGATAGCTGTTTTTCATCTCATTAAATGTTCAGTATTGGGCCTTACTGAATCTGAGAACCAGACCAGGTTCAGTAATGCAATAGAAAATAATAAAATGCATATTTGATATCAAGTGGAGGGGAAACACAGTGCTTATTCAAGTAAACATTGCTTCCAAATTCTATCTTTACATGAGTTTTTTCAGCTGTACCAACAATTCTGCTAATTCTTGCAGTTGCAAACATGCTAATCCACTTTTTGATGATTTTAAACAATTTAAGCTCTTTTTCGCTACAAAGATTACCATGTTAATCCTGAAACACTAAAGCTAAGAGAACTTGAATACTTATATTTTGATCAGTTGGTAAAATATTTTTATGTAGCTTCGCATTAAAATGAAAATGAATACAACAGTGCTGTAGTATATTTGCATAATGGGGAAAATTAACATTGCAGAATATTAAGGCATCAAAGATCTAGGAGCCTTTTATAATTGTGTTAGGACCACAGAATACAGATATAAAGGCTAGATAAGAAATATTCACATAGCAATATTCACATTCCTAATGGATTCAGTGGGTGTCTCCTTGGGCAGACATGAAGCAGGGTAGGTGTGTGCTTAAACAGTGTTACTCACTGTGCTGTGTATTTCTGTTCCTGTCCATATCTGTTTATATGGGGCTTTGTTGTTAGCCAGAGAACATTTTGTTACAGCTTTGCAAATACAAAAAAATAAGGAGTTTCTCTTCCTTCTGAGAAGGTAATGGCCAGCTTTTTAGTAGGAAACGTGTAATGGGACAACATATTCAGGTTGTCTTTAACAGAGGATGTCACCTTTTATGTGTCGTAGTTTAGCCACTATCAAGATTGTACTAATAATATGCAGCTCACAGATTTGTATCACAGAGCTCTCTCTGCAGTGACTGATTTTGAGGATGTCACTATATGCTTAAGAAAAAATAAACCCTTGACCATTTTTGGGGGTGAAGCAAGAGTTCTCCACAGCATCCGAGGGAAAAATGTCAGATGTAATTCTCTTTCCAGAAGGCTCCCCTACAGGTGGGGCAGCAGGCTGTGAATTTGCATTCTAATTTACACTACAGATGATCACAGCACACTGAGCAAAATGTTTTGGTGTAAGTAGTAAATGACTTGATTTTGTACCATTGATGGTTTATGTATGTAACTTAGAGGAATGCTATAATAAATGGGGGGGAGAGAGAACTGGGAGTGGGGGGAGAACTAGCAATGCCGGAGTGGAAAGGTCAGGGAAAGAATGGTGAGAATTTCTCTATATTTCTCCTGAGAGTGTTTTCCACTATACTCCTTGCACAGGTTGGCAGGTGTAGTTAGTGGGCACAAAGAAGGAACTGAAGAGCTAATCCATAAAGATGACACTTTGTGAATTACTGACTCTTGCTAGTGACTAGTCTTCAATATGTCCTAGAGGTTACCTTTAAAATACTTTGAAAACAACTAATTTTCAGTTAAAGGCATCTACAAATACTTTTTGTGAGCTAAACATATTCTATTTTTAAGCCACAATAAATATAAAAAAGAAAGCTGTTGTTCCATTCTGTGCTTTTGACTTGCTGTGGGCATCAAATTATTCCTGCCTGATGCAACTGGAGCTCCAAGCCTTTTCAGCTGTTCAGCAAAGCTTACTAACAACCCCACTGCTCACAAAGTAGTAGTCTTCCTTCTGGGACTTATTCTAAGGATGTACAGAAGTTGGGCAGCAAAATAGAAGAACAGGCAAGATTGGGAAGAAAAGTTTTCAGTGAAGCACTATTACCAGAAGAAACAGATTGAGAAAATGACATGGCCATTATTTTCATACTGTTCTCTTTGACTAGAAATATGTCGTGCTTCAAATTTTTGGGGTTTTCAGTTTGTTTTTTTTTGTTTTTTTTTTTTTCTCTGAAGGCTGCAGAAAATGGCACTTAAAAGCAATTCTAAAGTTTAAGCATTTTTTTTTTAAGATCATTGAGTGCAACCCAGCAGTTTGAAGTCCAGCGCTAAACCAGGTCCCCAGGCATCACACTCATATGACTTTTAGATCCCTCCAGGACTGCCCTGGGCAAGCCTGTTCCAGTGTTTGATAACCATTTCAGTGAAGAAATTTTTCCTTACATCCAATCTGAAACTTCCCTGCTGCAGCTTCCTAGCTTTTCTTCGGTAAATTACTGCTAACTGGGTGTGTAGGACTGCAGGTGCAACGTCTGGACTTTGGTTGTCCATTTTGTTCTTGCCAACTAAATCAAGCCATGTGGCTAAGCTGTGTCTTAAGTAAAATGAAAATGAAAATTTCATTTAAGTAAATGAAAATTCAAATTTGTTGGTGTTTGTCTTGACTGATTTGGTGTTGTGAGGATGTAGACGAAATATGTTACTGTATTGAGTAATGATGGAGGACAGGGATGGTATAAAATCAGTATATCCATGGGAAAACAAAGGACTGTCTATCTCATAAATGTGCAGTTTGTTTAGAACTAGTTGAGAATGGGGATGTTCTCTATAAAATGCTAATTTTATTTGATACTTCTGTTGGAGTTTTTTAATATTTCAAATACTCAAATAAGGAATCTTTCCCTCTTTCACCAAATTGAGATTTACAATAAACTAATAATAAAAAAATAAAATAATAATAATAAAATTTCTAAACGCCAATAGCAGTATCCTATGCCATAAAACTAATTCAAACACAAAAAAGCCCTGTGCAAATCTAGTTATTACCATTTTTATCCTAGAGATTTTGCAAGTCTGAGTGCTGCTAAATGATGTGGAACACCCAGAGAACCATTGTTTGGTACATGATTTATTTCCACCTCTCTTAGTGAGCACTACCCTGGGTGATACAGGGCAACACAAGGTTGCAAATATGAAGAAGCAAAGATGCATTCCATTTGGCCTTTCTCTGACAATAGTTTTAGTGTTACTTGCAGATCTGAAGGGGAAGGGCTTTTTTTATTTTTATTTTTCTTGGAACCTCACAGTTATTACTAAAAAATCAATACATGCAGCTTTTCACTTGCTTTGAGTTGAGTTCAATGTCGTTTGATGTTGTAGGACTCTTGTTGGGTAATTGTTGGTGTAGATGGTGTATTTATTTTCTCTGTGTGCTACATGCTTGCAGTTTGGGAAATTAAAGATGATACTTTATATAACAAGTTTTGAAGCGACAGTGCTGTTGTTGAAAAACTCTCTGGGTGTACAGGCTTATAATGCTCTTAAACTGTGTTGATAAAGCCTCTCTGTAGAATGACTAAGTATAAGAAACACAATGATTTCTCAATTCTTTCCCTTTTCTGTAAACAGGGTTATTTCCTTCTCTTTGAGTCAATGCTGGATTCTGTCATCTATGCGAAGGACAAGTACCTGGCAGAGGGAGGCTCAGGTTGGTGCTCAGTTCTTTTAATAAATTTAACTCTGGGGATAAGCTAAATGAACTCAGAGACTTAGAATACGCTACGCATGGATGAGAAAGTTGCCAGTCTCAGTGAAAAATGTTTCCATTAGTAGGAGCTTCAAGGCATTAATTTACTGTATGGGCAATGGGAGAACATTAGATGGGGTACCAAGGTCTCAAACTAATGATGTTTTTAAGAATAGAGGGGGCTATTTATTCTTAAGTATAGACTAAATTTTTTCTCCCTGTTTCTTCCCATATATGTGGGCATTTGTTTTCCCCCCCTGAAATCCAAGTTTCTGCATAACTGAACAGAGGAAAATAAGTTTTATCCTGTGAGATGTGATGCTGTTTGAGTAAGCTGTTGTGGATTGGAGGCAAAGTGGATAGGGTGTTTTACTGAGGGAGGGAAGTTTTGTGGGGAGGACATAGTGTCAAACATATGAAATAACAAATACTTTGTTTCAGTTCAGCATATTTGTTCTGGTGGTAATATGCTCTTTATTTTTATTGCTTGAGGGTGGGGTTGTGACAAAACAAAAGTGTTTGCTTTGGAGTTCTTTTACCCATTTAAGTAGCTTAGATAATGTCATCTTAAGCAGAGTTTAAATGCCTGTAAGTATTTATTTCCATGTGATAGAGTTTTGTGCATGAGTTCTGCATGTGCTTAATTCCTTTGTCAGTATTGTATTTCATATTGACCTTTTCAATTGTAGTCATCAGTCTGGGCTTTTTTTCCTCTTTTGTGCTAACCATGCACACAGTTTCACTACACTGACCTAATGATTGGATTAATGACTGTGTCACTGTGCTTGCTGCAGTGCTTCCCTCTGGTTGCAGTGAGCTTTTGTACACTGCTGAGTGCCGCAGGAAGAACGGGGTTTGTGCAGTTGTTCACAAAGCTGAATATACAAGCAAGAGATATCTCAGAATATTTAGTAGCCACTTGAGCAGCGTGACAGAATAAGAGTCCTTTTGTTTTCAGTAATGTAGAATAGTCCAGCTACATCAGGAATATAGGTGTGTACTCCGTGTAGATATATGCTGATAATTTTACACTGGAATACAATTAAATCCAGAGACATTCCCTAAAATCGTAAGGAAACATTTTATGTTTAGTTACTACTTCCAAAGCCTTCTGAAAAGGTCCAGAAATTTCTGACCTGTGTTTAAACTGTATTTTTGGTAGGTTTGCTCTTGGTTTGTAACTCCTAGAGATTCCTTTGAGAGATGGGGTGTCCTGGTTCTGCAGTACACTCATCCTTTGGGGTCTGACAATGGTCTTGGGCCCTTCTTTGATTCTCGACAAAGCACACGGGGTTGTATAGGCGCAAATGGGATTTTCAGTTCTGTCAGCAGTTTCATTAAGGTGCTTGCAGCTACTGTTCCTCTGCCAGCTTTTCCACCAGGTGAGAGGTTGTGCCCTGGGTCCATGAGAAGGCTGCTCAGCAGCACAGACTCTTCCGCAGCGCAGCTGAATTGCCCATCCAAATCCAGATGAGCCAGAACTAAGAGTTCACTCTGAGGTGAAGCCTTACCAGAGAAACTCCTGAATCTTCTTAATTATGTCTAAAGGCGCTTGGTACTATTGAGCCCAAGATCATTATTACAGAGAATGTTTGAAAGCTGAAAAAAGCAATAGCAGCAGCTGCAGTTTGACCAGATCTTTCAGTGACTGAGCCAGGAATAGAATCCAAATTTCCAGATACGTGTTCAGTCAGTCATATCGTCATCACTTCAGTTCAGCCTATTGGCATGCTGGGGTGGATTGTGCCAAACTGTCTAGGATAATGTGTACAGTATAGAAGAGCTTTGTTTGGGAACATAACATTTTTGCTGCCCAGGGCCCATCTGTGTGTTCTTTAGAACTGTTGCTCAAGTATAGATTTTTTCACACACTTGAGTCCAGTTCACATTATCAAGGGGTGACAAAGGTAAGGAATGTGTCATTCACAACATAATACATCCAAAACATAATGCTCCTTCACATCCAAATGATGATGGCATTCAGGTGGAGTTATTGCTGTGTGTCTGGAGGATTGCTGTCTTCCCCTTCAGCATCCTGAAGTTTGTGAGGCATTGCTATGGGCTGAAGGATTTCCCATCATGTTCTCCCCACCACGTGAGCTGTTGTGGTGACGGATGGCTCGTGGGCGCCGAGTCGAGAAGGACACAGATGGTCAAAGTGATGAATCCGGGAGAGCTCGGAGGAGTGGGTGCTCTTGTCCAATCAGCATTTTGCACATTTCACCTGTGAGAAGCAATAATTACTGAATTATAGGCTTAATGGGAAAAAAAATGACAAGTCTGTCAGGATTGCACAGGAAAGTGTTACAGAAAGAGCGGAGGATTTCCAGGGAAATCAAGGGTAATGGGGAAATGGCAAATGCAGGTTTCTGCAGGTGCTTTTAAATATGCACAAAACTCCAGTGTTTAGATGATTCAGATAGCATTGCTTACATTTTCAGTCAAATCCCAGTACAGTGTGTAGGACATGGGTGGGTCTGTAAATTAAGGAATCTCTGTAGTCTTCTGCCTAAGCCCTGCTGGTGGAACACAGATTCCTTTTTGTGCAGTCTGAATAGACATTGGCTACTTTTGCTGCTATTAATAGTGAAAATGCAGACTAAATTGGAGCATTTTGTGTTTACATTTTCCCTTGTTCTTAAGCACATTGTATAATCAATCATGAGTTCCAATGCTGATTTAAGGATTTGCTGTGAGAACAAAGATTTAATAAAAATTGATTATGATCCAGTTCAAATATTTTTTGCTTGATAGAAGTGATTAAATTTCTCTTTGGTTTACAGAATGTTCTAGAAATTTGCGCTAGTCAGAGGAAGGAAGTTTGTAAAGTATTGTTGTGGGTTTAATTTTTGTTTCCAGTGGCACTGCAATGCTCCCGGTGTGTTCTGTAACCAAGGACTGATTTTTCATCTCTCTTCTAACCATATCATTGCATCCTATGAAACCCATTCCCCTAAGAAATAATCCCTTAAAGGCTGTTATCCCTTGCTTTTGTTGTTTGTGTCACACTGTCTTTTAAGTTTTGGACCATCAGTGGTTGCTGTTGAAGGTGTGAATGCTGTGAGGCAAAACCAAGTGTTGTACATGCACACTGTTAAACAGCCGTGGGAATGTCAGAGTCCAGCACATCCCTCTGGCCGCCCTGGCTGTCTTGAGACCCTGGCAGGGGGCTTGGACACCCTGGCATGAAGTCAAAACCAGCTGTGGCTTCAATTTTAGCCTGTGGAAAAAAGCTGCCAACTTTGTATGAGGAATTACAAGTCACAAGGGTTTTAGTAGTGTGCTACTTGAATTAACACAGGGTGGAAAAGTAGAATTTTGGGATTTTTAGAATGGGGTTCAAGGGGGTACAAGATGGAGGAATTTGGGTGTGTCCTGGCCTTCTTCTCCTTTGTCTTGTCCTCTGTGTCTGGGTGTGATGGTGACACTTTTCTGTTGGTTTAAGGTAGAGATTCACAGTCTAACATGGGTGATGGGAATTGGAAATAAATTGCAAACATAGACATGTTGTTTTGAGTATATAAGGTGGGAGCCACCCGAAGCTCGGGCAGAATGCTACGGCCTCCTTGCTAGCCAGAGCTGGGCAGGTCAGAGAACGTTTAGATAAGAAGAGATAAACAACCTTGAAAAGCACAATCAGAAGCATTCCAGGCTCCTTCTTTGGCTGCGTCGGGCTAGGGAAGCAAAGACTCTTTAGGATCTCGGGGTCACCCTGACCCTCGGAACCCCGAGGTAATCGGCGTGGGAAAGCTTGCAGAAACAGTCTTCACTCAGTGATGGCTCCAGAAACTACCTGCAGATACTCCCACTACCACACATGGTGATTTGTGTTTGTGTGACAGCTGTCAGGTGTGCTGGAACCAAGAGATCAGTTTTGGACAGGACAGATCAACCATCTTCCTGTTAGGATTCTTATCAAACTGTCTTTGTACGGCTGAGTGAGTTGTAGGCTGTTCCTGGAGACACCTTCTGCTCAGATTTCCTCAGCTGCAAAGGAGGGGTGATGATAGTTTAACAATGGGATTCCAATTTCAGCTTGCTGATATGTATTTATTCTGCTTTAAATAGTCAGCAAGTGAGAAAAATGTCAGTGTCAGTACCTCAGTGTCTTCATAGAACAACAAAAAACTTTAGAGAAGGTTATTCTTTACAATCACTATTTATAAGACTATTTCCTTTGGCCTAAAACTGTTCTTACTATATGAAAGGTCTAATTTCAATTTGCTGCCTGTATCTTCAGAGTTTTGCAAGGTGGAAAATACTGCTTTTCTGACCTACCATGCTATACCAATGATTTTTTCATTTTGATAAACTATAATTTCAAGCAGAGCTGAAGACAAAATTAATTTTACAGTTCACCAGATTCTGGGGAGGAAAAGAGAAACTTGGCTTCAGTTGTATTAACACTGCCCATTTCATGTATTAATATAAAATAAAATTAAATTAAATAGGGTGTTTTAGTTGACATTTCTTTCTGAAATCAGGTCAGGAATTCAATGTATATGACTTTAGAGGCTTTAAAACTCTGAAGAACAAAGCATGGTAATTTCTTTGTGAAAAGAAACCTAGCTAAATATAAATTTGACTTCTTTAACTATTTGTTAGGGTTATAGGCAGCCATGTACATAGCAGCTGTTCTTTGTGGGTTTTCCAGTCAGGTGAGATTACCAAGAGATTGACTGACTTTGTTGGCAGCTGTTAAAAAGGCAAAGGCAAATGTCATTCTTCCACTACTATTTGTAAAAGCTGTAAATAGTTACTTGTTCTGAAGATGTTTTTGGGAGAAGGAAAAGCACAAATGTGAAAATAGTGTAAAATGATAGCTTTATCCTGAAAGTGGAAGGGAGGGAATCCATGAGGTTCTCTTCTGTCTGTTGGGACACTTCCAATCAGCTTCAGACAGAAAAGTGTTTTTTTTCAGTACCTAGAAATAATTTTTTAGGTTGTAAGGTAAGAATCAACCAGAACTGATAGCAAATAGGAATAAAAATCTTGAGTAAGAATATATGTTTTTTTCTGAAAATAAGTTCTTTACACAGAGATTTCCTGTTATTACAAAGCCTTTGCTTGAATTTCTGTTTGGGTGTCTATGTCTACTGTTATAGAATATATTTTAGGTTAGTCTCTGCATAGAAGTCAGAATAGGCTGTTCCAAATTATTTTCTTCAGACATCAACTTTCCAATAATTACCTGGTATTGGGATTCAAGTACAAAGATATTTTGTTATGAATAGGAAATACCAGACTAGTGTGTGACAATTCAATTTTTGTGTGTAGTCTCTTCTGTGGACAAATGGGATTCTAGAAAGCAAAGTAGCAAAAAAAAGTGCCTTGTCCAAGAGCTAAGAAAAGTTCTTTTTTTATTCTTTTGAGATGTTATCGCTTTTAGACAAAGGAGTAAAAAAATCCTCCATGTGTGTAAAATAAAATTTCACTACTCTGTTTCTGTTGTTACAGTTTATCCTGACTTGTGCACCATCAGTCTGGTAGCTGTTGGGGATATGAACAAGCATGTGGACAAGCTGCTTTTCTGGGAAGATGTGTATGGCTTTGACATGTCTTGTATGAAGAAAGCTGTCATTCCAGAGGCTGTTGTGGAGGTGCTGGATCCAAACACACTGATATCCACAGCCAGTGTCATTAAGGTACCATATTACTTAATGCTGAGGAGGCTGATGAGAATTTGTCTTGGTTTATGGAGGAGGGGCAAAAATTCACATGGCACACACATACTTTGGCATCTTCAAAATTTTCAAAGTGCAGTAAGGTTCTTGCTGCTAAAACTGGAAGGCTTATATTAATTGCTATTTTACCAACTTTGAGCTTTTAGCAAGGTGATTTCCCCGTATTTAGACTGTTCTGTTCTGTGATTTCTTCTATCCAAAGCCAAATTTACTTTGGCAATGCTCTACTGGTAACAGTGCATGCATATCCCTTTCTAATCCATGCTGTCATGAGCACTATCCAGCTCAGATGGCTTATCAAATTTTGTCATCATGCAGCATGTAGCATCAGTGTTGTGCTGAATGGCTTTATATTCATTTGTTCTCATTTAGCAGTCATGATTTTTAAAATAACTTAAAATCAATTCATGTGCTTGTTTGCTGGAGTTACAGTACATAGTGAAATTAATGAGTGGAACAGTGGCATTATAGGTAAATTGTTTTAATCAATAGCTATTCCACAGAACAAATGGGTTATATTTTGTAGGGAAAGTTTAAAAATGTTCCCATTCATCATTATGATTATTACAAAAGGTACTTTGGTGTGTTTGCTGACATCATATGCTGTTTGTTCTGTATAGTTAGTAGTGTAACTTTTAAGGGAGCAAAACATTCCCTAAAGAAAGACAAGGCAGCATGAAAATCATGAAGATCATCCAGTTCCAGCTCCCTGTTGTGGGCAGGGACACCTTCCACTATCCCAGGTTGCTCAGACCTCCCTCCAAGCTGGCCTTGAACAATTCCAGGGATGGGGCAGCCACAGCTTCCCTGGACAGCCTGTGCCAGGGCTTCACCACCCTACAGTAAAGAATTTATTCTAATACCAAAACTAAACCTAACTTTTTCATTTTAATCCATGCCCCCTTACCACTCCATGCTCTTTGAAAAAGTCTCTCTCCATCTTTCTTGCAGATTCCCTTCAGTTTCTGGAAGGCCACAGTTAGGTCACCCCAAAGCCTTCTCTTTTCCAGGCTGACCAATTCCAATTCTCTCAGCCTTTCCTGACAGCAGAGGTGCTGCCTTACCTTGGTGGCCTCCTCTGGACTCACTCCAACAGCTCCATGTCCCTCCTGTGCTGGGACCCCAGAGCTGGATGCAGAAATCCTGCAGAGAGGAGGGAAGAATAGCCCCATGTACCCACAGAAGCTGGGGACCTCCTGGCTGGAAAACAGCTTTGCAGAGATGAATTGGGGGTTCTGGTTGACACCAAGTTGACCATGAGCCAGTTCAACACACCCTTGTGTCAGAGGCAGCTAGCACCCTCCTGGCTGCATTAGGAAGAAGACTTATCACCAGCAGCTCAAGAGATGCACCTTCTCTTGCACCCCAGGGAGTTGGCTGTACACCAGGGAGGTGAATTCTGGAGTGCCCTGTCCAATCTCAGGTTCCCCAGGGCAGGAGTGAGATGGCTGTACTGGAGTGAGTCCAGTGAAAGACTGCAAAGGGGATTCCCTAAAGGTCTTTTTCAACCTCATTTATTCTGAGACGGATACAAAGCCAGTCTGGCAAATCAAAATCCCCTGGTTTTATCCCACACCCTTTTGATGGTGTAGTTTACCATGTGACTACATGAACAAGGGGTAAAACAGGTCAAGATGCCTGTGAAAGATGCTCACTCTCAACAAGGGGCAGCTGCCATCGAGAAGCAACTTTCCTGAACAGAATGAGCCTCTATGTGTAGTTCCATACCAGTACTAGTCAAAGTGTCTGTTTATTTGGGCATGTGAGGGAGAGGAGTTTCAGGTGTTTTGTCACATGGCGTTAGGTAGTTTTTTTATCTCTTCCCATTTTTTGGAAAGCTGAAACAGTATTGCCTTATTAAAGTTGTCTCATAATGAGAACAACTGAACAACCTTCATCTAAAGGGAGATCTTAATTGACATTCCTCACCATTACTGACAGAATTTTATTACCCTTTTTGACAGCATATCGACTGCAATACTGCATCCACTCCAGACTTGGAATTCTCTTCAGATTTCACCCTGAGCATTACAATGAGCACACAGTGTACAGTAAGACAATTTCACTTTCTTCATACATGGTCGGTATTGCATTGGACTAAGAGACAATCCATTAATTATCCTTCATTTATGCCTTGAAACATTCCTTTCTGCAGTACAGAGGTGTCAGATGAGCTCTTTCTATAACAAGAGATGGATGTAAAACTCCAGTAATAGTGTTATGGGGTAATGCAGGCAGGTGAGGAAAGGTAAGGGTAAGGAGCCTTATCACTGGGATATTTCTGTTTTATTCTCTAGCCCATTTTCTGAAATACAACAAAGTCTGGTGTTAGCTTGCCTAAGTAATGCATTGAGCTTTCAAACACTACATAAGCAAAGGCAGGATGGCCTAATTTTTACAGTAATGTCAGTAATTTGCTTTTATATGCAATACAAATTCTAAGTGCTCTCTAACAATTTGTTAAAATACCATCATCAAATTTGACAAAAGAGCATTACGCTCTGAAATCAGTAATAAAAACTGAAAATTTTGCCCTCTGGAGTATTGTGAAACTTCTGGGAGTTTCATGCTTAAATCACATCACAAAATCAAGTGTAAAGGGATAATTTTTGGCTTACTTCTGATATATTGAGGTAATTCTGCTACAGCTGGTTTATTGGAATTTTGCATGAGTATGCAAAGAAGAGCTGCATGCTTCCTCTGGACACAAAGAATATGTTTCTGTATGATATAAACTGCTTAGGGTGATGACAAAATCTTGCACGTCTGCATCAGGCAATGTAATTCCTGGTTTGGATGTTAGGTCATGCTGCTGCATTTGCCAACATTTTTGCGGAGTAGCAGTCTGCATAAGAATTTGTTGGTGTCAAAAAGTAAAATTTTTCCATGTATATAGTCGAAATCATTATAATTTTTAATTAGTAGGTGTGTAAAATACTTCATATTTACTTGTCATTTAGTCAGTTCATCACCAAATTAGGTGAATACACAGTAACATTTTTGGGTTTATTAAATAGAAGTCTGTGTATTTTACTGTGCATACAAATTGAACCCCTCCTGTTTCAAGGTATCATAGGATAAATCTAGTTCAGGGCAGAGTCAGGTTTGATTTGAGATCAAGCTCCACTGCAGCCCTGGTTTAATTTTCTTAATTTGGCCACATTTGAATAACTGATTAAACAGGAATCTTTAAGAAATTTTGGTCATCTTTCTGATGTTTGGGTAAAATAAAATAGCTTATTTTATAAACATTTTTTTCCCCAGCACTAAGCTCTTAAAAAAACTTCATTTCTGTTCTGTGATTCTGTGGCATCTTTGGCATATAAATCAAGATGTATGCCTGAAATTTGTGACTTCCAAGAAGAAGGGGAGAGAAGTGGGACAAGAGCAGTGTTTCTGAAATTTTGCAGCGAATGTAGGTTCTAAAAAATGATCAGAATGCTGTAAAGTATTTTGCACTTCATCATTTCAGTTTATTGACACTACGAGTGAAATTTCCACAGTTTCTATGATGGATTGTAGAAGTTTAGTTGAAGGTTGACAGTTCATCCATCATATCATGCTGCCTAACCTTGCAGTAAATGAACAATAAAAGTCCATTATTTATGTTGAAATTTTCGAGGAGATGCTTTAAGATTGCAATTTGTCCTTTGAAAATAATATTTTATGTATTTCTTGTTTGCATATGTTTTGTTGTTCTACTGGCTTTTCATTTTCTGCACAAAAAGAGAAAGCTGCCTACATTTCCCAAAATTCTAGGGTTTGATATTTGTATCTTAAGATTTTTCAGGGTTTTTTTCAAATATGAACATTTTTAAATATCTTTGCTTTATTTACAAAAAATACTCCACAAAAACAGCAAATTGGAAATCCATCTTTATATGCTTGCATTTCATTTCAAAGCAGCTTTTCCTCAGCCATGGAAGTGTGGAAGCAGATTTGGTTGTCTTATTCTTGATGTTGCCATCAACATTGCTGATAGCACAGCAGTGTTACCATCAGAACTAGGACTGTTGAATAAGCTGTCCTTAGAAGCCAGGTGACTGAAAAATGTAGGGGCACATGGTTCTGTTACTTGTTCTAGGGATCCTCTTGCAGAGCAGCTCATGGTTTGCACTATCCTTGGGTGCTGGAGCTCACTTTAGGTTGAGGGTGGCTTTGTGTGGTGGAAAAATTTTTCTTTTAACTTGTGTTTTTAAAGAAAGGCTTAGTAGACTTTTGTTGTTTGGTTTTATGGTTGTTTATTGTAAGTTATCTAAAAGATTGTCTTTTTGGGCTGCTGTGGTTTGCTTAGCAGCTTAGGTAAAGGCACACACACCTTTAGTCATCTTTTTTGTTTTTAGTTTTTTTTTTCTCCCTCCCCGGGTTGTTGCTATCTTTTATATGGTACATTATGTGTTAAATGTTTATAGGTTTTTTTTAAAATGTTTATTACTTATATTAAATGGTGCTTTTCTATTTTAAACTAATTTGTGAGTGTTCACATTACTAAGAACATGGAGGTAAGGAAGAAGAAAGGGAGGTAAGGAAGAAGAAAGAGGGAGGACAGAATAGGCCTAAATCTATCTTAAAACTTTTGACCTCTATGTACAAAATCAAAACTCCCCTGTATAGGACTTAAAACCCCCTCTGTACAGTACTTTAAAATTCTTCCTTTTACTTTGTGACTACTATTTTTACTATAATATTTAAACTTTTGTGACTTCTTGTTCTTTTTGTAAGGTTGGTAAATCATTCCATAGCTCAAATCTAAAATCACAGCTGTTTCCAGCTGCCTGCCAGGGTCTCAAATGCTTCTGACCTGGGCCCGGAGCATCCAAAAATGTCTGAGGGACATTTTGAGTTCCGACATCTGGTGCTGTGGATGGGTTTCTGTGCTCCCTCCCAGGGCACTGTGTGCATGCAGAGCAGTGTGAGGCAGACATTCCTGCACTCAAGTGTGTGGGCAGCATGGAGTGCACGGCTGCTGTTGCTGAACTTGGTTTTGCAGAAGCTTTGCACTGATGGGAAGTAATTTAGCAAGTAGGTAGAGAAAAGGGCTGTGGGCACTTCTGGTTGGAGTGTGCAACATAATGGTTGAAGAGCTAAACTCTCAGCTGGCATCTCTAGAAGTAACAGCCTTATCAGGGTCTGCTGCTTCCTCCCATCAGCCTGTTTGTCTGTCTTCGCTAACAGGACAGGTTGCTGGAAAAGCTGACAGGAGTCAGAACCATAATTGCAGTTTTTTAGCTACTCATTACCACGCTTGCTTTGGTCATGGCTTGGAACACCCCCAGGATCCCTCAGGCAGGAGAGGCTGCGCTTCATGGTTCTGTGGCAAAACCTTGATTGGAAAGGGGTCCTAAAGCTCACCTAGTTCCAACCCCCTGCCATGCCCAAGGAGTCCCATCCCTTGGATCAGGTTGCTCCAAGCACCACCCAGCCTGGCCTTGAACACTTGCAGAGGTGGGGCACCCCCAGCTCCTCTGGGGAACCTGAGCTAGGGCCTCACTATCACCGCAGTAGGAATTTCTTCTGATACCAACTCTAAATCTCTCCTCTTTTAGTTTGAACCATTCCCCCGTGCCCTGTCACTATCTGCCCATGTCAAACAATGTTACATTCCTCTAAAATCTATCCTTAGTTTTTCCTCAACTGTGTTCTGGGTTTGGATAAATGTACTAAGGACATGAATGCCCAGCCATCGTAATGAGCTTGTGTAAAATAGAAAAGGCTATGCAGTTCATAAAACTAAAAGCATAGCATTGACACATCTGATTTTTTTGTCCTTCCACCTATTTGAAACTACTCTCATACTTCGTGACCAAAAAAAAAAAAAACCCTAGCAGAGTCATGCTCATAAGAGACGAGTCTCATGTCTTACTGTAGGTGCATCTTGAGTGTATTGCAGATGCTCCTGTAATACATTGAATCATAGCCTTAAAAAATAAAGGCTCTAATTTTTTTTTTATTTCCAGATGTCCAAGAAATTAAATAAGACTTCCCAAAAAAAATCTAATACACATAAGAAATAAAAAATGATTGAGCAAAGAGAAACATTTTTAATGTGATCTTTTATGTGCTGGTTAGTCTTTTAGAAGTTCCGAGACAGGGTGGTGGGGTAGTTAATGTTTTTTTCTGAGAATGTATTGCTTCTGTTAATTTTTTTCTTCATTCCTTGCATGCTTTGCCACAAAGAAGCATTTTCTAGCATTAATTTTATATATAATTATTTTAGCTTTAAAAGATTGCAGATTTTCAAAGTGTGAAACGGTTGCATGGAATCATTATATGAAATTGTTCCAAAGTACTTCTATTGCAAGTTGGCTTGATTTCGGTCCTACAAAGATAATAGCAAAAACAAAACAAAAAAAAAATCAATTAGCCTGCAGAAGTGCATTTTCCTAATAAAGAGCTAGAGTTTGTCACTGTTGATTTTAGTGAGACATCTGGCTAATATCAGTTAGTAGATGCTGCTAGAAAAATACTCCATTAATTGTATTGTAAATTGATCACTGTGTGAGCTTTTGAGATAAAATATAATGGTGATTATTCTCAGTATATAAATCAATTGACAAACTTTCCTTTTTGTTTGCAAGCATTTCCCCTGTGAGTCCATCAAGGTTGATCTTTCCTAGCTGAATAACAATATCCCCTGAGAGGAAAATGGCAGTATCTCTTCATTGCTCCCAGGAGATTTTGTCAAAGAGCAGGGTATGTGTATAAAAAGTGGGAGGGAGGAAGGGGGTGAAAGAAAGATAATGAACTAGAGAACGTGACTGATGTATTAAAACCTTCAGGAGGAAAAAGGAAGTTGAGTTGACTAGAGCAAATAATTCTGACTAAGGGAAAAAAAAAATCTTTGCTTGTTAAAATTTTCTTAAGTGTTCGGTAGTTTCATTTCTTAATATCAGGTCGTCCACTTGAAAGCCAGCAAGAAGTATTACCATATGAATCTTTGTTCCAACCTTAGGTGAGAAACTAAATTTTTTAAGCGAGAAGTTGGAAATCTGATTTGGGTACCACAGTTAAATCCACCTTGAATGCTTGATTTCTGAGTAAAGGAAATACT